ATAACCATTCCCAACACTTAAGTTTCACTAAATTAGAGTGGATTGGATTCTCAGCTGCAGCTCCATTTTGTGATCTACACTCATCACACGTCACGTCGGGGCGTCAGGCAGTGAATCATATCTTTTCCACTTGAAACAGCACATCTTTTCACACCTCTCAGCTCCATGAAATGATTGACGTTAGCGCTCGCTTCGATCAGGCTTTGACGGATGCACCTGTCCTGCTTTGGATGTGACATGCAAGAAAGTCTGAGAGCGTAAAAAAAAAGTGGACGAAGACAGAATTATGAGCAAGTTTGGAGACTAACAGCTGTGCCGCCGGTGAATCTACAACAAAAGCTGTGAGTTCAAAAGAGGTAAAAGGAAAAGAGATTAGTTGACTGAAAAAAAAATAGATGTAGAGTTGATAAAAAACGGAGTAAATGTTGCATGATAGTTGGATGCTCACTTTCTTTTAGGACACATTTTTGGGTCAATGGCAGGTAGATAGTGAAACCATGTTTTTTAGCATAAAGCCTACATTAAGAACAACTAATTTTACCAAACTTATACAGTAAATTGGTCTTAAATATTTCAGATAAACTTGAGTTGCTGCCATGTGATTGGCTGAAAAGCTATTTGTGCGAATAAGCAATCAAACCGATGTACCTAATAAAGTGGCCGGTGAGTGTATAATCGAAATAGGTTTTGAAATCATGTATTGAATTAGTTTATTAAAGGGCAGCCGCTAACAGGTGAGTATTTAACCTGGTCTTAAAAGTACTTAGAGTTTCTACAGACTTGGAGTGTGTTCCAGATATATAGAAAACACAAAAACTCAACTGTATTATAAATCTGTATTTAAAGTGTTAAGTATCTTAAAAGCCATTTTCTGGCAGAAAGGGGGCCAGTGTTTATATTGTCTGCTTAGATCATAGACTGTATAAAGATTGGACGCAGTCTGCCGTCTGGGTGAAGCCAGTCCAAGAACAGCACCTTCTGGTGACGGGCTGTAGTATAGGTCATAAATACTGCCTCCGCCAGCCATCCTTATGGGACTTTAGAGATTGATTACACAGAATATACATTTTTCTCACCCCTGGTTGTGGTGTTGACATGTAGTTACTGTAAGACTAGTTTGTGCTCAAGTCCTCCTGGTTTCAGGAAATGGAGAAAAGATGCGGAAATACCAAGAGCTTTTTGGCCCCAAACCGTAACCTGGCGGGAGGCAGAACCAAGTTGTCCATAGTATGTACAGTCTATGGTACTGTTGTAGTCAGGACCGCACCAACCGAGACCAAGACATTACCGAGACCAGAGAGGATCGAGACAAGACCAAGTGAAAATGCCTTTGATTCTGAGACGACACCAAGACCCTCAAAAAAGACCGATCTCGAGTACTACAACACTAGTCTAAGGCTTAGATATAAAGCTACTCTTGGACACTGAGTGGTCCCCGTTGATTAAGTAAGATATAAACTGCTTGAGTACTGTGCCAAAAAGTCTTACTCTTTTCTCCAGTTGGTCAAATATAGCCTTACTATTGTGGTGGAATGAAACATTACAGTAATATGGGTTTCTTATGTCATTGGTGGTGGTGGTGGACCCCCAAGGCTGGTTGAAAACCAATCGTCAGGAAGTATTTCTAACATGCTCATATTGGGTTAATGAAAACAATGTGATAGTTGTTTACTATGACTAATATCTACATATATAATTAGGTAGTGACATCTGTTGACCACTGTAATAATAGATATTTTTCCTATTTAAGGAAACAGTTATTTTTTATTCCAAAGCACAAAATTTCAGGAGATGTTCCTACTTGGTTGGGAGCTTTTTCTCCAGCACTGCCAGAAGTTTTGAAGTTTTCTCCCACCCAACATCTCAGTTTTAACTAGTAAGGTGCAAACGTGGCAAAAACTCTGCAGCAGAAACTGTGTATTTTACTTTTTTGTATCTGTTGGAAGTAGAAAGCATAAACTACAAATATTTCCCCGGCTGTGATGCATCTCCGCTATCTTTTTCTGTACTGTGCTCTGAACTATTTGCAGTTTCAGTATCCCACTTTCCTCCCACGAGAATCAATATATTTTCTCTTCATGTTGTATAAAAAAGACATAAAATTGACTTTCACTGAGATCCAGTGATTTGACAAGACATTCGGTTCTGCCTGTCTAACACTCTCCAATACTTGGTGCATGCTTTGAAATGTTTTTTCATGATACAGCCGACACACACTGAGTGATGTTCATCGTTTGAAGGCCTGCTGGGCTCACCATGAGTAAGAATGGTTTGAAATTTTAAAAACTGTACATGGACAGAAATACATATACAGACTCTTCAAGGCATTCATGCATACAGGAATAGCTCCTCCAACTGGCCACATCATAACCTCAGCAGCAAATCTCTTCTTGCCTGGTCTAATCTGTCCAAAGTTCCACAACCCATAAATTGGTTTTATTTAATTTTGAATGGGAAGTCCCAGTCTGTGGTTGATAACATTTATCTCCTTCTTTTTAACGAGAAAAAATAACAGACGGATGAGCTTTTCGAAATTCCCATCTTCACTACTCATCAATTTGCTCCTCTACATAGACGTCCTACAATGGCAATCATCAGTTTGTGAAAATGTTCCGCTCCTGGGATTCCTCTTGTCTCCTCTCTCGGCTGCTCTCGCCCCCTCAGTCCTTGAAATCTATATCTGGAATAACTGTCCATCACAACAGCACGTATACGCTGCTTCTCCTTGTCCTCGGGCTCTTGAATCTCTTCTCATGCAGTGTTTGCTTCATTTACTCCCTCTTGCAAAGCTTTCTAGGTGAGCACCAACCGAGTTTTCAACATTGAGTTTCTACCTAAGTGGGAAATGAGGTCCCAACATCTACGTAATACCACTTTTAAAGCATGCTATTTAAACCATTTGCACTGCTGTGGTACAAAAAGAAAAAAAAAATGGTAGCAATGCTTAAAAGGGGGAAAGCTATGACTTGTATTTTTCAGCACTTAGTGAAATCTGGTCTAAAGATGAAGATGTAATTTCAGTACTACTTTACAAACAAAAACCACAAGTATGGCAGTTTTTAGATCAAGTGTAAAGTAAAATGTGATGGGAAAAGGTGCAAAGGCAGCAGGACTGACCACAGCCTGAGAGGATTGTCAAGACATTCAATTTAAGAACGTTTAAGAGCTTTACCAGGAGTGGACTGAGACTGGTGTCAGTGCATTACCCCCAATTTTCACTGCATCCTGAACAGCTCTGATCTGGAACGGTGGCAATTTTTTGCCATCCACCAATTCCTACCGGATCCGTTGGTGAGGCAAATTACATGGCGGATTATGGACAGTGGTAATCGCGAGAACTCACAAGAACCTGCAGATTCATGTGCAATTGCATGATAACGAGTTCTCTCTATAAAGATAGCCACAAAGGCTAACCGTATAAGCAGTAGATTGTGTCCTTCCACAGGAGGAAATCCACCTCTCGACTTATAAAATCAGCATCTCCTCATCCATGGTGTCATCCGGGTGAAATGCTGTCTAAAAACCTTTCACTTGCTTGTTCCTACTGGTTTGCATAGTGTGAAAAACGATCCGCGTGAAACAGAGTGTTTTATTTCGAAAAGAAGCCGGATGATTTATTTTGTGTCTGTGCCCGACTTCCTTTCCAGCACGGGTTAATCTGTGCTGAATTTATCCGGCATGCTCCGGCGTCCGGAAAAAATAGAACTCTTGCGATCAGCTGTGGAGTCCGGCGATCCGCAGCTGAATGGAAAGAAGCCATTGGAAACTGACACATTAACTTGAATGGTTACGATCAGCTATGATTGGTGGATACGACCTTTTCGTTTCCATCCTGGATGCGGTGGAAATTGGGGGTTAGAGCCACCAAACTGTCGCACTCCCAATACCAATCCACTCTTGAACCAGAGACAACATCAGAAGAATCCTTTTTAGGCCTAGGAATTAAGAAACCGGAATATTTCCCAGTGGTTCAGTTCAAAGGCCATTTTTACATGAAAGTACATTTAGCATTTCATCTCTGGAGGAAGAACTAAAAGGCACAGAGTCCAAGGAAGTCCAGAGTGAAGTTTCTACAGTCTGTGTGTCATCTGCTGGTGTTTGACCATCAGGTATTATTAATCCCAAAGTCAGAGACTGACACATTTTATGGAGATGCTGCCCACAACACCAAAACTACCACCAAATGGTTTGCTTTGGCAAGCTAACTCTCCAAAACCTCAATGGGAGTCTGTGGGATATTTGTCAAGAGGAAGATGAGAGACAACCAGCGCAAAAATACAAATGAGCTGAAGGCCACGATAACATGATAGCAGAGCCAGAGGCCGATCCCCTACAGCGCATTGAAGCAGTTTACTGTGGTAGGGAGCCTCAGAAAATTACATAAAGTATGAATGAACCCGCTTTTCAGAAGATAAACTCTTTTTTATCTTAAATCCATTTTTTGAATTATCTCAGGGAGTATTCTACCAGTGTGTCTGTGATGCTCTGCTGACTTATAACTTCATTTTGGCAGCAATTATAGGAGATGGGATTTGAAAATTGCTGTTATTGCGTGCGTGATGAATCCTGTGACAGATGTCTAGTTTAACCATAAACAGTTTCAAACAGAAAAACTTTTAAAAAAATGTTCAAACCGAAAAAACTAAAGCAAAAAACTAAACTTGTAACCCAGCTTTGAATGCCTTTTCAACTGTATCTATTGCTGTTACTAATCTTTTCATCAAAGAGTTGCACACTGAATCCTTTTTTTATATATATATTAACCAGTCTGGTATCTGGTGAAGCCTGATGCTTGCCCACAAAGAGTTTGAGTTGAACAAAATCATGTTTTAATATAAAAAAAAAAGCCTTTTCTCTTATTTTTGTGACTAGTCTCCTTTAGAGCCTGAATGTTCATTTGGCCCTGTGGTTATTTAATTTGGTTGGTGTAAGGTTGCAATATCAAACTGGGCTAAATACTCTCAAAATTTAACAGTCCACACAATGTAATGAGGAAATAACACTGTTTAATCGAATAGGCTGCTCACTTTTGAATAAAGCACGCCAACACTTGGTTGTCATGACAAGTTTTCTTCCCACAAAGCACTTTTTGTGGATAATTTAAACACTTCAGCGGCTCCTGCGAGGACTGGGCCAAAGGGTCACCATCAACCAATGCTGAAGAGTTCGCCAAGTGCGTGTGAGCGGAGGCTATTTGAGGACAGGAGGACGAGTGTATAGAAGTACCTGAGGAAGAGAAGGAGAAAATAATATGGGATACAACAGAGGTATAGGTGAGAGAAATGATTTGTGGTGATGTGGAGATGCAGCAGGTCTCTCCAGCAGAGTAGCTGGCTGTCTTGTGGCAAGATAAGAGGCGGCAGATAGGATGTTCCCCTGACAGACAAGGTGACAATCGGGCCTCAGTGTGTGTAAACAAGAACGCTGCTATCTCCCCCCTGCCCGACGATGGGGTTAGCACCTCTGTCCATCAGCTGGGCTCCCGTCATCCCTCACAGGGGCCCTCCGCTCCTCACCCCTCCTCTTCGTCTGCTTGTCAAAGCTTGAGAAGGAAAGTCGCACCTTCTGCTGCTGGCGAGAGCCAACATGGCTGGCAGAGGGAGGAGATGGGGGGGGCACATGGTGGCACAGGCTGCCAGGGTTTTATTAGTTCCCCTCACAGTCTCAGTCTGCCCAAAAAAAAAAAACAGACAAGGTCGACAGTCCTCTTGGTTTGTGCTGTAAACAGAGCAGTCCTTGGAGCCAGAAACCTCTTCAAGCAGGACTGAGTGGAGTGTTTTGGATGATACAGTCGGTTGGATTAGGAGCCCAACAGGAGCTCAGCTTCTGTGTTGGTAGTTGAAGCAGCTCTTGAGTTTGTTGCTTTCATAACAGCTCTTTCCACCCAAAACTGTAATGTTAGATTACCTATCATTATGTCTGTGTCTTTGCACCTTATGGTTTGCTCAAATTCTGCTCATCATAGTTAAATTTGCTCTACCTTTATATCATGGCTGCTGTGCCTCACTAAATCAACTCTGCAGCATTTCCTCATAGCAGAGGAGAGTTTAGCTGGCAGTAAAAGTAGCTCCCTGTGAAATCCATTTTAATATCTTTGTGTCAGATACTTAATACGTACTTGATATTTCGCTAGGTGATTCCCATATTAACAAGGCTAAAATGTGTTCAACTTGCTGCTCATATATTGATGTATCTCCTGGCAGATTTAACTTGTCCCTATACACTTGTTGTATTCCTCCAATATCAATATGTGCTAAAGTCACTCCTCTTTTTAAAGGTGGTGACCAATCTAATGTACATAACTACAGACCCATTTTAATTATTGGTATTACTGCAAAAATCTGTAGGAAATTGATCTTTCATCAATTATCACTCTACATTAATCAGTTTAATGTTTTATCTCCCTGACAGTCTGGTTTTAGACCATAGATTTTTTCTTATTTTTTTACTACAATTACTTTTCTAAAATTTACTTATGGCCAGGGGTAAAAGTAAGCAGGGATACAGCCGTACACCGTACCAGGAAGACATCAATAGTAGTTTACAGCCGGTACGCGGCGGTACTCAAACTGTCATCTAAGGCTGCACGATATTGGAAAAAACTAACATTGCTATTTTTTTCAACCCTGCGATATATATTGCAATATTAAAAAATACAGGAATTTTCACCAGATGACCTGAATAGCACTTAATGTTATGCTGCACCGCTGAAGTCTTGAGGACAGTTAACCTGCTCTGATCTTACCTCTTTTTGTGAATGTTAGAATGGCTTCTGTCTGTCTCAGAGATATTTTTAGCTTTTATTGTTCTGGGACGTTATTGTGGCGACAGATGAACACAGAACACGTGTTTTGGTCGACATCATCCTTCTTTTAACCGAAATAATTCCAGATAACTGACTTTCCTTTTCTTTTTACCAACAAATCTTCATTTTTGGTGGTTTTCTCTGTTTGTTGCTCAGTTTGCAATCCTTGTTGTTGTTGATACCAGGGTTGAGCTGAGGAAACGCATGTCCTCCGAGAATTGCATGCACCTCACAAAACGTGCACTGCTTATAGTAGAGTGGTCCACGGAAATATACATTTTAAAACCCATACAGTTCTTATTTGTTGGGCTAAACAGTGATGAGTAAAGTTCCGAAAGTAATTCTCAGCGGACAAGCGTTTCTCGGCTCAACTCCGGTAGCGCCAGCGACTCACTCCATGTGCAGGACATGTGCAGGGGTGGGTTTCCTCCTCTCTGATTTTGATTGACAGCTGGCAGTGTAGTCTGATTGGCAACTGAGTAAAAACTTGAAATTGTTTATCAAAATACTTCTGACAAAATCCTTCAAACCTGAAATACTTTACACAACTTCCTCTGTAGATTTGTTTCGAGATCCGAACGACAGTTTCACTGGTTTCAATTTAGTTTTAAATGTGTTCCCTTCCATATCTAAAACAAACTTGTTCCATTTACTTCTCCATATCCACTCAGACATATGAATTATCTCTTATCACCATTACCAGAGTTCATAAAGAAATAGGTTGTCGGTCAATAAGTTACAAATACCAAACAAAGTAAAAATTGGTACTTAGATTCATTTGAATTCCATTAAACGTGAGTATTTACGTCTGTACCCTCTTAAGCTCTAAAACTAGCTTAGCAAAGGTTTCAGTCTTTCGCCAGTGGCACCATGCCCTAGAGCTTTGGGCAGCAACCCTGTGATCTCGCAACCCAAGTACTCTGTGTGGAACTGCTTTCCTGCAACATTATTCCAAACCTGTGAGAGTTACCCAGAAACTGGGTAGTGTTACATCACCTAACTATGCACGGCTGTAGTAAATGCAGAATTGAAGGCAGTCGATAAAATGTGCTGACAGCAGCTCTGACTGTCTCTGCCGCTCTGTAATTGGCACTTAAGGTTGATCAGAAAGGTTGACAGCTTTTCCAAGCAGCTGAAATAAACTTAAAAAAACAAGCCATAGACTTTTTGAGAGGTTTAGAGACGGTCCAAAGTCTTAACCATTCAAAATCCCCGAATCAATCAAACAATCAAAGGAGAAAATGTAAAGAAATAGAGAAAAAAAATGCAAAGAAAGCACTTTGCAGAACTCACCACTGAACGTATTTTATTCAACCTGGCAGCAAACAAAGAAAAGCAACAAATCTTTTCAGCTGAGGAGATTGAACTGCAGACTTCTTGACACTTCGCTTGATGCTCTGAGCTGCATTAATCATAGCCTCTATATTAAATATAGATCAAGAAGTAAAGTGTTATGTGAAAAATGTTAGTCTCAGCAAATCCTCAGAGAGTTATGATCTAACTCTGCTGTTAGATCATGCTTCTCCAGGGAGGTGAGTCTTTTAAGAGCTTTTCTTGGCTCATTGTTTTTGTTTTTTGGCCCAAAAACTCGCTTTTTATCAAACTTGTTTATGACTTACCGCAGTGATGTCCTAACTCTTCCCTTTGTGCCGTGTCACATTAACAACCTTTCAAAACTGACCCTCACATTCCAGTCAGCCTTGACTTAGGTTTTGTGACGAAACTGACACACCATCGGGCAATAAAACACTTAAAAACATTTTATATAGTTACAACATCAATAGGAAAGTGTGCCGAATCTATTGGAAAAGAGATCACTATGTGGCCTCACCTGATTGTTTGCTATTCACCATTGAGCGGCACAACAAGTGTTGAATCCTGTATGACTACTTTTCTCAAAACAGGCCCCTTAAGCTTAGAAAAAGACTCAGAAAAATTGAAACATAGCCAAACATTTGCACCTAATTTTTAATACTGGTTAAGACTTGATATTTTGAAAAACTTAAAACCCCACCGGCTATGATATTAATTTGAAACCAACAACTCTGTTATCTGTTGAAACCACTAGCTTACGTCTGAAAGTGTATTCCCAGGCCAATTGAGAGTCTGCCACTTTATTTGAATTGGCAAATTACGAATCCCTGGGGATGTGAAGCCACTAAGGATTCATCGGCTGCATCCATAATGGGGAAAATAGGTGGTATTTGAAGGAGCCTTCAAAATGGGACAGTCTGAAGATGCAATCCATCTTCAAATGCAGCTTTAAAGGGAAATTCCGGCGTAAAATTAAGTTAGGGTCAAACACACCGTAACACAGTGTTAGACACCCCGGTGAGTCGTTAATGTTGCCGACTGCTCACTTCTCTAGGTATACCAACTTTAGTAACAACCGCAGATGGCAATACACAGCGGTCCCAGGAGCCACGCGCTTAACCAAAACGCCACTCTGTAGGCACAACTAATGCTCAGAACAGCACCTAACTTCATCAACAGTACATACAGGGTCCCGGCCATAGTACTAGCCACCGAACATCTTTGTAGCTTTGCCTGATTTCTTTGACAAAGAGACTAAACACAACTCACCCACTCTCTTCCAGCAGCCGTTTGTTTGTAGGGAGACCACTGGGCAAGTCCATCAACTGCAGTGGGGTGACGCAGCTCAAGGAAGAACATTTGTGATCATTTCTTTATCATTTCCTTAAAGTAATAATCACCATATTAATCATTTTGCACTTCAGACGTGGTACTTCTTCTGCCTTAGCGTCTCGGTCCGGTTGCATTTCTTAATGAAAAAATGATCATAAATGTTCTTCCTTGAGCTGCAACACCCCGCTGCAGTCGATGGACTCGCCCAGAGGTCTCCCTACAAACAAACGGCTGCTGGAAGAGAGTGGGTGAGTTGTGTTTAGTCTCTTTTCTAAAGAAATTAGAAAAGGTAAAAAGATGTTTGGTGGCTAGTACTATGGCTGGGACCCTATATGTACTGTTGATGAAGTTAGGTGCTGTTCTGAGCTTTATTTGTGGCTATAGAGTGGCATTTTGGTTGAGCACGTGGCACCTGGGACCGCTATGTATTGCAATCTGCGGTCGTTACTTAATTTGAGAAGCAAGTGGTCAGCAGCATAAATTTCTCGCCCGGGTGTCTAACTCGGTGTTACGGTGTGTTTGACCCTAACTTAATTACGCCTGAATATCCCTTAAAGATGTTGTTATTGGCCAAAGTCGGTACATGAAAATGTTTTTGGTGACCACTCCAAGAGCAAAGATTTTGTTCGCATTTGCCAGAATCGACTCAAACATTCCCTACAGTTCCTTTACCATGGCTATGCTCACCACAGATAATCAGGAGCTAAGGCAATAGCAAATGTCTGCCAACACATGCTCTGTCACTGTGTCTGCAGCTTTATTCTTATGCCAAGTGCATGTGTTTAATCAGCTGTGGTTTGATGACAGTTTGTTTATGAGCCTGTTTTCTCTCCTCCATACAGAGCTCAGAACCACCTTGCATTTAAGATATCCTGACAACAAATGTCATGCTTGCGTATCCATTTTTTTCTCAGCTAAACCAGCTATAGCTGAGGTGATTCTGACTCAATGTCAGCCGTGCCGTCCTCTCCGTCAACACCCTCTCAACCCCCCAGGAGTCTTTTAGGACATGTCTGACATGAAACTGATGCTGCTGCTCCTTTTTTCTTTGTCTCGAGCACAGCATGTGAGGAAATCCAATCTACGGTTTATGAAACAGCTCTGTAATTTACTAGGACAGCATATCCTCTCCTCCTTCACCACACAATGACCCCTGTGGTTTAGTTTCTCAACCTCTTAGCCCTCATCTGGCCCCCAGGAGCTGCACATTCACCTGCAGATGACAGAATATTTCCCTTTTGTGCTCCACACTATCCTCCACAGGTCTCCATTTCAGCCTCCCTGCTTTGTGCATGTGCCTGTTTTTTTGTGCTTGTATAACAAAAATCCTCATGCTTTTTTTTCCACCCCTCATGCAGCCTGTCTGGCAGTATTAGAGGCTACAAGAAGAAAGAAATGTAATAAAAGCGAGCCCTGGTGCCCTGTCAGCGTGGCTCAGCCTCCGGAGAAGCCTGCCCATCACAGACAGCCCATGACGGTGCAGATTACACTGTACACTGCAATAAGCCTGACACATGGAGAAGTCAGAGATTACAGCGGCGGACTATTTCCTCTATCTGTTCATACAGCTGTGTACCCTCATCGCCGTAATGGAGTGAGCATGCAGCGCCCTCTGGTGGTAAAACACAGACACGACAACACCCTGTTTGTTGTTTTGTTTTGTTTTGTTTTAATCTGATATTAAAACACATTACAAAGTCAGTATGCAAATATTCTCTTCTGTTAAATTAAATGACTGAAAATGCACAAGCCTTGAACAGGTCTCTGTTGATGTGAACGAGCATAAATTAATCCATGTTTGCACCTGAACATGAAGGTTTGAAAACTAATAAATATGACACCTTTTTACAAGTGTAAAATAACAGGCATACCAAAGTTTGACATTAAGTATTTATACATTTTTTTATGTTTATATATCGACTTAAACAATCAGCCCAGTAGCTCACACAGCCTATCATACTGAAATAAAGAAACACACGGCCACGATATCGAAAGGAAGTGTGAGTGAAATCAGGCAGGAAGAAAACCTGTGAGAAAATAAGTGTGAAAGCGATGCATTTCCAGTGAGAAGCGCTTAGTTTGTTTCCTTTCAACTATACACAGAAATAAAACACTCGGGATGTGGCTGAAACCGAAAAGAAAAAGTCTAGAAAGCAGGCATCTTTGCGAACATCTTCCCGTCGTCCTGACAGGACAACACAGTGCAAAAACAATACAGCTTAAATGCGATGCTACAACACAACAGAGTGCAATAAATCCCAGCCTCAGGTGACACGAACACTGTTTCTGGTAAAGAGTCTGATCAGCAGCAGAGAGCCCAGACTTACAGCCTTCTGCGTCTGAGTCAGTGTGAGAAATGTGAGCTGCTGAACTATCAGCACCATTAAAAGCCCTGCAGGTAGACTTTACAGTTTTTACTGTAGTCCTAAGGTTGTTCATAGAGGCTTTAAAGATAAGTCAGAGAAATACAACTGAGGTGCTTTGTCGTTTTTGGCATGGTTTCTTTAGATGCGGTGACATTTTACCGACCTAGGCGACAGCTGGGATTAGGATGGAATCTCCTAAATAAGTCAAACTGGGAAGAGAGAGTTTTTTTTCACATTAAGCTTAGGGTTTCTGTTGTTTTTGTGCTGGAAATATTTTTATATTTACAATATTTCTTAGAATTACCACCTCAGCTTAAGTTAAGGGTTGTTTTTTATGCCAATATCACTCTGATTGTTATTCAAAGTGTCCGGAAAAGTTAAAGAAGCAACATCTTTATCTTAGCAGTTTGTTATTTAACTCTGCAGTATAAAACCAGACAAAGTTATGACCGGTCTTTGGCAGGCTTGGCGTATTCGGTTTAAGTCGTAGCTGAGTCTGATGGTCCACTCAGCCCCTGATGCCTAAAACTGTTTTATTTCTCCCTTGTGTGGTGTTGGATTTGCAAAACACATCCATAAAAAAAGCAAACAAAAGACAGAGTAGCTGTAAACAAGCGATGGTAGCTTTAAAAAATAATAATCACACTGTCATATGATAATCAGTTCAGTGGGGAACCTATCAGTGTTTTCAAACGCTGTAATGATTATTGCATATTACAGCTTTAAGTTTAAATCCATATCTTTAATGTTATTACCGTATAAGAGCTTGAAAAGTTAAATAAAATCTATATTAATCCTTCTTTTGGCAAAGCCTGCAAAAACGAAAAAAGCAAAATACTGATTCGAGAACTTTCTGCATACAAAAGTCTCAGGCTTGAAGGTCAAACTAAGATGAATGTTAACAAAAGTAAAACATGGAGGCTTCAGTTTGACTCCACTCGACCCAGTCTGACTTCCATTCTTTAGAATCTACTGTATCCCAGCAGTCAACCTGGTGAGCACAATGTGACGCTTTGAGACAGAAATGATGCCAAAACCACAAAAATCTCTCCGCAGTTGTAATGAAACAGATCAATGGTTTAAATACCTGTCAAACACAAGCATACAGTAAACTCTTTGTTTCGATGCTTCTTTGTTTCAACCGAATTCAGAGAGTTGAGGAAAGCATGGACACATGGCCCAAAACAGAAGAAATGGCTACCCTAGTGCTTGGTTGAGGCCAAGTCGAGTTGTGGATTTGGAAATTGTGTATTTACACTTTGACAAGTCTATGTGAACTCTGTGAGTCCACTTCCACTCTGCTGGATAAAAGAAGAGGCATGTCTCATTTGACCTTGTTTTCTTCCTGAGTATTTTCTTCTATCACTACTATCTGTACGCCTGACAATTGTCCGTTGGCGTCCAGCTGCAGCCCCTGAACCCCCTCAGTCTGACCCTCCTGCATTTGGCACTGTGTCTCCTCCTCCCCTGTAGCCATCGTCACCTCCATTCCACTCTGGACCATCATAGCAGCCCCCTCTCTGCCCGACTCCCCGCTCAGCTGCAGCTCCATCACTCCCACGGCCTGCTCCATCGGGGCGGGGTTAATCTCGATGACTGTGTGCTCCTGGCCAGCTTCCACCTCACCCTGCATAACCTCCTGCTGCACCAGCATGGTGCCATCCACCACCTGGCCCTCTATGGGTACCACCTCCGCCCCCCCAGCTTGCTGGCTGAGGTGCACCAGCTCTAAGGGGCTCACTACTGTGCCCAGTTGGCTGGAGTCCTGCATTGGGGTGGTGCCCACCAATGTGAGACCTGAGGACGGGTGCAAGGTGATGGTGTCCGCCTTTCCATCCCCGGCCACCATGTAGCGGGTGAAGAGCTGTGAGCCGGCGGGCAGCAGGGTGACCGTATTAGAGGACTGGGCCAGGGAGGCAATGGGCAGGCCTGCCACGGTGAACGGCTGACCCACAGAGGACAGAGAGATGGGGGAGAGAACGGTGAACTGCTGTGGCTGGAGGGTGGCCTGCTGATTGATGGGGGAGGTCAGGAGGGTGGTGGTGGAGGCAGGTCTCTGGAGACGAGGCCTCTTGGTCTGACGTTTGGTGGGAGTTTTGTTTTTGGCAGGCTGAGGGCAGGACAAGAGAGCACGCACCTGCTGCTGCTTCCTCTGCTCCTCCAACTGCACCTCCAGATCTGCACAGACAAGAAAACACAGCACTGAGAGAGAGGGCAGAGTGGATCTACAACAGGGTCTTATTTATATCGTTACTTTCTCCTGGCTGGTTCCTTTTCTGTTTTGAGTTTGTGTGCCCTGATGATGCAGATCTAACACCAGTATTCATCAGCATCCATGCTTAGACTTAAAGTCTCACTCTGATCATTTTTTTTTTACTACTTAAAGTTTTCTCAGTGGTCTTTGAATTGTGGAGATTAAGTTTTTACCAAAAATCTCGTTACCTGTGTCATTTTCAAGGGCTTTTCTTCTGCAGAGCTCCAGTAGATCATTAGCAGTTCGCCTTTGAGTTGTGGGCGGAGACATCGCTGCTCTGCACACTCGTCTTCACGTGAGCTTGCAGCCTAACATTGCCGGTGTTGTAGAAGTAGCAGGCAACATAGGAGCTATTCAGCTCTCAGATTTTTTTATGCACACATGTGCCGCTAAATACATTTAACAGTTTGCACACATCTTTTTTTAGTCGCAAATGCGAGTAGACCCTAGGTAGACCAACAAAATCAGTGTTTACTGATTCCAAAATATCTAAGAACAGAATCCAGATTAAAAGTTTATGGGTCCCCGTTAAGTTTCAAGAAATGTCAACAGCAAGCGTTTGACTCAGTTTAACTGCAGGTTTAAGGGTCGTCTGTCAACCCTGTTTTCTGAAGCAGCACTCCTGATGCTCTTCTTGTGTTTGGCACTCAGTAGCCAAAGTGTAAAAGAAACCCACGGTATCAAACTGACTTTAGTTTCTACATTTAACAAAGTTTATGTAATCAATAGTACCCCACTGTACGGTTTCAACATAATGCAGGAGAAACATTGATAAGCAGCAATGCCAGCAATTCTCCGAATGCAGGGAATCCCAGACAACCTCTAGTTTCCACCTCTGCTTATTCACTTCTTGGTCACAGAATAATCAGAATCAAGAAGGGGAAGGACCCCTAATATGAGCTCTGTCAACTGCACATTTTAGTTAACAAACAGCTGTACAGATTAAGTTTGCTGAACCACTGCGAGTTAAAGGAGTGTAAGCCTACGTTGTGTACTCACTGATGAGCGTGCTGAGGATCTGCTCCTGACACGGATCCGTCTGCTGCCTCCTCCTCTCCAGCATCTCTTTCACCAAGTCGAGGAGACCGAAGACCTGGGCGAGGTTACTGAGCACCGCCACCTCTACCAGACAGGAATCTGGGATCAGTGCGGCAATCAATCAAAGGGTCACAAGGTCAGTCAAAAAGGAGGAACAAATTCAGCTGTTGCAGAAATTTGTCATTTAACATCATCCACTGTCACTGCAGAAATGTTGAGGAGCCGTTTGAACGCATGGTGATGTTGGTTTTTCCTTCCGTCTAGCTTACAACAGCAGTTGAATTTGTTCATTCTTTCTTTTTTCTTCTCATTTGAGTCACAGTGTATTTTTCTGTACCTGTTTCCTGTAAAGTTGCTGGTTCCTTTCTCTGCTGCACACCGCTCAGCAGCTCCTGCAGCACTGTGCTGATGTTGGTCACCACTTCACCCAGCAGGCCCACGTCGGCGATCCCCTTCCAGAAGTTCAGCGTGTCCTCTGTGGACAGAAACACAGACAGGTCTCTGTCAGTGGTCTGCTCTGGGGTATCATCACTGCTGTTAAATGAATCATCATCACTGGGATGTGTGCTCTCTGTGACCTGAGATCTCATTAGACTCCTTTTTGTCTGCAGAGTCCAGTGAGCTTGAGCTCCAGTCTGCCTTCCCGCTCAGAACCTCAACTCGGTCCTCGCCCACAGCACCGCCATTACCCAGAACCACCTGAGCTGCAACTTACATAAGAGAACACACAAAATGAATTTTCATTGTTTTGATAGGTCGATGGTCTGAAAGTGTTACACAAAACACCTGTCCACTGTTTTCCCCAATGGTACTATAACAAAGTTTGAAATCCTGGTATCACAAGAACTCTGCTACAGGTCAATATGAGCAAAAAGTTTGTTTCTTTTTAGATCCCTGGGAACAAATAAATTGAGATTAACTACATCTTATGGTTTCAAAACAATTAAAGTGAAGTTCAGAGGTTCCTTATTAGGCTGCATCTCCTGGACATGCTCCTCTAAGTGTATTTTATTTCTCTGGTGGTGTATTTACATGCCTGTAAAACTGACTGCCATTTAATTTCCTTTATCCTTACTGCATTAAAATGACACCTCAGGCTTTATATTCCAGGACAGACTTTTTTATCCTGTTATAGAAAATAATCCTATTTTATATTTCATGCCTTGTGAGTGTGGTAAATATTACACCCGAGTAGGTTCTAGTTGTTGGAGAAGCTATTACTCACATATTATTTAGGTGTCCTGTATTATCATCGCCATGAAAAGAGGATGTGAGATTTTAAACTGTTATTTTTGAGTTAAAGGCACTGTGAGGAGTTTTTATGCTGTGTTTATTCAGCGATTACTTTCAATGAAATTGTTTTTCAGGGGGGTGAAGACTACATTTCCCATAACTCACCTTGGTAAAGATGTGTCTCATGCCAATTAGTGTTGGGCGGTATGACGGTATATAACGTGACGGTATAAAAGTGTCTACTGGTAGAAATTTTGCTCTACCGTTTATACTGGAGAGAGAGAGCAGATGTCTGCTGAGTCACTGTGTAGTTGTCTGTGCTCGCTAACAGGAGAGCCGGAGCGCATCAGTTTGGGTGTGTTTCCCTATATTCACCAGCGTGTTGTGCAGAGTTTGTTCGCTCTGTTTGACTGATCAGGTTTGGGTGCGCTCCCTATAATCACCAGCGTGTCCAACAGACTGCTTGGCATAGTCTCGACGAAGGAGAAACAGCTTCACTGGTGGTGGTCATGGTGGACACGGAGATTAGTGGCAGTACTGAGCAAACGGAGGCAGCCCGACCCACCCAACATGAGGAAAAGGGGGAGGGACGCATTCCGAAAAAGGGCGCGAGTTGCAACATTGTCTGTCTGGAGAAAATCCGACAACGATCAAAAAACAATACTATGCTAAGAGTGTCGTGTGCCTGTTGTTGCTGGAGGAAAACACAAGCAACCTCTTCCACCACCTAAAGATGAAACACGCCAAGCTCTATTATGAGAGCCAAAAGATGCGTGGCGCACCAGCTGCACCAGAAACTAAAGTTGCAGCAGCTCGTCTCATACAAAAGAGCTTGGCAGAGTCTTTTGCCAAAGGTAGACTACATGTATATGTATATGTAAACAAATCTGAGTTTAAAAATAAAAGGAAAATGAACAAATGTGATAATATGGTCATTTTTTAAGCCATTAGATGAATTTGGGGGGGGGGGGGGGGGCGTACCATGATATATACAGTTAGCGTGATATGAAATTAATCATACCGTGATATAAGATTTTGTTCATACCACCCAACACTAATGCCAATTATAAAAGCCATACAGATCTTCCTTTTACTTTTCTTTGATCAAGGAAACTTTTTAGGATGCAGAGTGATGAAGACACAAGCACTTTACTCCAGTACATAGAAATAATCAATCAGGTTGCTCATCATTTCGTTTTACTATGTAGGTCATGAAGAGGCATTAGTGCCAGACCTTTTTAAAGTCAACCAAAACCTCCTCACTGTGCCTTTTGATGCCATAAAACTACTCATGAATCAATTAACTGGTGGTAATAAAGACCGCTGATACATCTCTTCACAAAGGTTATCTCAGGATATTATTTGCAGTGACCTTTCATCAACCTAACATGAGCATGCTTTTAACAAAATTCTGCATTTATTGTTTTATTCACTTTATCCATTTTAAGCAGTTCGCCTGATTCCAGGATTCATTTTGGATCTCAGAATTAATATTTCAGCTCTCTTGTTTCATTCACTATTTTATGTATTCTGCTGTGTTTTTCATGTCTTTTGCTTTCAAGCTGCTCCGAAACAATCTATCCCCGAGACCCGACAGGAATAAACTTGAACTGAACCGAATGAATTAAAATGGAATTATTATTTCATTTATCTTCCAGTCAACTTAAATTCTTAAAAATTGTTGTTTTGCTTTCTTTCAAACACATAAAACATTCAAAACATCTGACACATGATGAATACGGCAAACAGAATGTATAAAATCCAATAAATACTCTACCACACAGGTTGATATCACATTGAAAGTTCAGCTGTGACTCCCAGGCTTTGAACTCTTCTTCTCACCTTGAGAGGACGTGGGCGTGTTCAGCCCTGTGCCGTCAGGAGGGAACCGTGTGTTGTTGATCAGAAGGTCAAACTTGGTGCTGCGACACGTGTTGGTGCACAGCGTGCTGTGCTGATAGAAGTCCAACTGACCAGAATCCATCATTTTTCTGAGGAGAAGAAACGGTACACGGTTCAGAAATTTGAATTGGTTGGATTTCAGGCGATTAATTTGTTTCAGCAAGTCAAGAAAGTATCATAAATACGTTTGGAGGATACAAATGTTGGCAATATTTCATCTCGCTCACATTTCAGATTCTTATTCAAGATACAAGAGTCACCCATCTGGTCTGAAACACTTTCTATAGAATGTACAAAACTTTCATGCACACTGTAATTTAACTGTCCAGTATTGAGACCAACCAGCGCTCAAAATATTGAAATTTGGTTCTCTTCTCACTGGCACAAATGTCTCCTCACCTTAGCATGACTCCTCCCATCCTGATGGCTCTTTTCCAGTCCTTCAAAGTGGCCTTTCCAGAAATGTGCACAAACTGCTTCGGGCTAATCAGCTGGTCTTCATACTATATTAAATACAATATCATACATTAGAAGTGATGTGTCTTTATTTCCTGTAGAGGGACAGACTATTGAATGACCCTTTTTGCCTTTCAGTTATGTATGGCACTGAGTGTATATAACAGTTTAGTCTACATCTGAATGTTTCCATATCAATGTTTGTGAGTGTTTTGACTCATTTTTACACAAAATACAATGGCTATACAAAACCTACAGTTAAACCCTTCTGCAGCTGATATTTTTTACAATATGGACTGAAAAACAAAGATGGTGACCAACCTTAACACATTTCACATTGATTCCTGGGCACACAAATTTCTTGACAAGCAAAACAGCTTTACAGTCGCCACATGTTATGGGACAACCAATCTCGACGTCTTCTCCCTCAGTTTGTTCTGGAGGAATCAAAATATACGCACACAGCATTTTCATCGTGAAGAGAGTTCAGAGATAGAAATGTTTGGGAAAATACGCTTATTATATGCACCAATAGATTTTTTAGATGTTGTATGGATATCATTCTGACATTTTATTACCTGGTTGCGCTTCAACTGCCATGACAGCTGCATCCGTTTCAGCAGATTCATCTCTGATGAGGAAACAAAATTTACATATTATTTACATTAAGTTGTTTTAATCAAAACCAAAAAATGTCTCTCTGAGCTGGTATCCTAAGCTGCCCACTCATACAGGCCCTCATTACAAGAAGTGATGGTGTAATTTATTTTACACCAATTTTTCTTACATACCCTGTAGTTATTGGCTGGAGCTGGAGGATGACCTGAGTTTTATTTGGATCATTTGGGTCCTCATCACCTTCAGCCTTCACCATCACCACCTCGGCCATGGACACTGAGACCTCTTCATTGGTCGCCATTACACTCAGAGTAGACCGCAGAGGGGGACTGCTTTTTTGTCAGAGCTATCCAGTTTGTTCATCTGAGAAGGATGTATGCATTCGAGAAATACAGGACAAAAAGGGACATATGTTAATAACAGTTATACTGTATAAATCTAATCTGAAGCTCAACTGTGTTTTGTTCATGTCCAATTCCAAGAGTTGGGAATATGTGGTAAATGTTGATAAAGAGCAGATTCATTCAAATGTAAGACAATACACACTGCTTCCACTTGCACATTTTATAGTATATGAATGATATATCCTCATTTTAAATCTGATGCCAGCAGTATTTGTTGGAGCAACATATTATGCTGCCATCCAGACAATGCCGTAGTTTGGAGAGGGCCTTGCATACTTTGGCCAGATATACCAAACCACATTTTGCACATATTGCAACAGCATGGCTGGATAGCGGAAGGGTCCAGGTGCTGCCTAAATTAAGTTAGGGTCAAACACACCGTAACACCAAGTTAGACACCCATACAGTACATACAGGGTCCCAGCCATAGCACTAGCCACCAAACATCTTTTTAGCTTTGCCTGATTTCTTTAGCAAAGAGACTAAACACAACTCAGCGTCTCTCTTCCAGCAGCCGCTTGTTTGTACGAAGACCTCTGGGCAAGTCCATCGACTGCAGCGGGGTGACACAGCTCAAGGAAGAACATTTATGATCATTACTTTATCATTTCCTTGAAGTAATAATCACCATATTAATCATTTTGCACTGCAGACGTGGTAGTTCTTCTGCCTTAGCGTTTCTATCTGATTGCATTTCTATAAAGTAATGATCATAAATATTCTTCCTTGAGCTGCGTCACCCCGCTGCAGTCGATGGACTTGCCCGGAGGTCTTCGTACAAACAAGCGGCTGCTGGAAGAGAGTGGGTGAGTTGTGTTTAGTCTCTTTGTTAAAGAAATCAGGCAACGTTAAAAAGATGTTTGGTGGCTAGTACTATGGCTAGGACACTATATGTACTGTTGATGAAGTTAGGTGCTGTTCTGAGCATTATTTGTAGCTATAGAGTGGCTTTTTGGTTGAGTGTGTGGCTCTCTGTATTGCTATCTGCGGTTGTTCCGAAAGTTGGTATGACTAGAACTTAGAATGACTAACTTAATTTTACGCCAGAATATCCCTTTAACTGGCCTACCTGCAGAACTAACTTAGTGCTCATATAAAACATCTGAGGCCCCAAACTGTTGAGGAGAAGAAATTCAGGGTCAAAGAAAGAATGAGATAACATTCAAAATACCCTCCCGTCCAAACTTTGATAAAATGTGATGCTAACATTAAATTTAAAATGAGCCTACCCACTATTATAGGCCATAATTGTTCCTTGGATGAATTGTCAAAGTTGTAGTGAGTGTTTAAATGTAGTTTAAATTCGTGGACTTATAGCGGCAAAACCGCTGTAACATCAATTTACACCCACAACGGTTCATTTATGACCAAAAATCTAAGCTAAGTATCTTTATCCCATCAACCAAGCCTGGATTTACCAGGTTCTGGAATAGTTTCAGAAGTAGCTTCAAAATGAGAGCCACACTTTTAGAAAGCCATAACGTATGGTAACGGTACAACTTTGTAAATGGCGATATTTTATACCAAGCCGTTTCATCGCACCGAGTGTTTAACTGCAGCTTTGAATGATGCTAACGTAAAGGCGGTTGGAGGCAAGGATTGTACACCGTCATCTACGTCAGTGGCAGATTTGTGGCAGGTGAAAAAAAGTACATTCCCCTCCAAGTTAGACGGGATGTTACGCTCAGAGTGGACAACTGTTCGCTTTTCTCTGCTGAGATCCACACAGCCAGCAGTCTAGATTCGACGGTAGCCATTATGGCTCACACTAGGGCGTTACTAGCTGTGTGGTCAAGTGGACTATTATGTGAACTATACTGACCGAGACGGTTATAGCTTTGCATTTACAGTGTGACGGTTACGTGCCGCTTGTCTCTGAACCGTACGTCCCTTCGTAACTCTGCATTTTAACTCTCCGCTCCCCCTCAAAATGACGTCTCCCTGTGCGGCGGCACGTACAGCAAACAACGGCACGGCGACGGCGTTGCCCCTCCATTCTCTGTGAGGCTGGCCGGTCGATTTACCCCGGAACCCCCGGCTTTTACCATCGTTAGTGTCGTAAAAGCGCTCAATGTTTCGGCGACAAACACACCAAAGGACATAGAGTCAGATGTAAGCTTGTCCTTACCGTTTTATGAAGAGAAACGCAGCCCTTGATTGTACAGAGCTGCGGCGCATGCGTGTTTAGCTGATGTAGCTTGACTTCCTGCTGAACAGCGCTCGCCTTGTTATCACGCTCATGTTAACTCTACCAAATCATATAAAACTTACTCTTCTGTCCCTTATTCTTCTGAATTCAGATGTGAAGGGTCGAGTCTGTGACATCTGAAGACACCCTTTGTCTTTATTCGTGTGATATAGAACTTTTTTTGTAAGAGTTTGAAAGACTGACATTACATTATGCACGTTTAGTTCCCTGTCTATCTGACATATCCATACTTACATGTCCATACTTAGATAAACATTTGGTTGGACTTGTCCACTGTTAAGTGAACATATAAATACAGATAGTCACCAGTGCAAAACGGTAGCAAAAATATGGAGACATTTATTTACACAAGCAGAGGTTATATTTAGACTCTTACTGCTCTTTCAGCTGTTTCTTGTTTGCTGTTTGAGCTCTTAGTGTTTACTAGTTCTTGATTTGTATCCTGTTTTCATCTATCTATCTATCTATCTATCTATCTATCTATCTATCTATCTATCTATCTATCTATCTATCTATCTATCTTTGGAAATATTACAAAGACACAAATCTTGAAGACACACAAATCGCATACTTCCATACTAAATACTTAAAATTTTGAGTATACTCAACTCAAAACGGAAAAAAGTATGAATAGTATTCTTGTTTGCTGTTTTAGCTCTTAGTGTTTACTTGTTCTTGATTTGTATCCTGTTTCTATCTATCTATCTATCTATCTATCTATCTATCTATCTATCTATCTATCTATCTATCTATCTATCTATCTATCTATCTATCTATCTTTGGAAATATTACAGAAGACACAATCTTGAAGAAACAAGGCCTAAATAGTCAGTTAAAATTATTACTTTTGCACTTTGTTTAGTTTGTTTTTCCTCTGAAAGGGTAACCAGAGGGGATCTTAATACATCCTTTTCAATGGAGGACCATCCAGGTGGCACTAGGATCAAGTTTTATGCGCTCAAGGGCATACCTCAATTTGCAAAGTGACATATTGATTGTAATTGATCCTTCTTTCCCTTTTCTTTTGTCATTTTAGATAAACAATTACAATGAAGTCCATGGCAAGGGATATGACTTTCTCATATTTATGTAAAAAGGAAATCCAATCCAGTCCAGTTTATATTGCACAATAAAATTAAAAGAACAAACACTGCAGAAAACATAAAGATGGAATAAATAAAGGCAGGTAGAATAAAAAACATTTGAAATAAAACATAAAAGAAATAAGAGTGATAAAAGGACCATAAAACACCATCAGAAGGAATCACAGACAGAGGAAGCTCAGGCTTGTTTTGAACATGTTGATGCGGGGCGCCAGGACATGTGATCACTAGCTGCCCCTGTTGTAAAAATTGTGCTCCCGAAATCTCTTGATGGCGATTCCGCAGGAGGAGTGGTATTCCCCACCCCTCCTGTGCCAATCATGGCAGAAGCCCTTTTTAACAATGTCAGTGAACGTCGCACTATCTGTACGGTGGTAACATATTCCTCATTCAGAGGTTGACTCATCGGCAAATTACGTCTATACGTAACTGGTTTAAAGGACTGTATGTTATCATCGTTAAGTATGATAATCATTGTTGAAAATATGTAGTAATTTGTCCATTATCGTCGAAACCTAAACACATTTAGGCTTCTGAGTTCAGCAGTCGCAAAGGATGATGGGTAAACTAAAGCGCGCCCAAGTTAACCCCTATTGGTTGCTGAGATAGTGTCGCGTTTATGTAAATGGGAAAACCAAGCACCAGTTCGAGAAGGTAGTTATTCACAGCATTTGTAGTTGTACTGAACTGCCAGAGCTTAAATTTATGATTTATGTATTTCATTTTTTTCTTTCTAAAGCCTCTTTTTATGTAGGAATATACAGAAATGTAATTGTGTCCCAGAGAATGTGATTTTGATTAATATTTGTTGCATTTACTTATATGCTATTTTGGTGCTTTAAGAGTTTTCTCTTTATTTCTGATTTTTTTTTTTTTTTTTTTTGCATTTATGTACACAGTTTCTGTGATGCATGGAACTTTTTTTTTTGTTGAGATTTTTGAATCTTCTTTTGTATTTTCCAAATGTGTTTGTGAACGGTTTTATGCTCACGTTTCAAGAAACACTTTGATCAAAGAGGGACTTGGCTGGGTTTGATGACACATTTCAGTGAAATGTCTTTTAGATCATCGAATGTTGCAGGAGTCCACATTTAGTGGACATTAAGTATCTATTAAAAAGGACTGGCTGTATTTATGATTTCAGATCAGAATTAAAATTTTAGAACTGTGATGAATATTTTTTTAATGTTTTAATTTTTAAAGTTAACAAAAAGAATGCAACATAAGAGGTTTTGATAGTGATATAAAAACTTAACAGATACTTGATACTCACTTTCCTTTCTTTAGATTACATGAGAATGTTTTTAAAGTTCAATTTCAAGCTTTGTTATGATAATTACTCTCAAGAGACAAATAATTGTGTTTTCTTTATTGAAGAGTCAACCTGCAAGTAGTTTTAATTTCCCTTTTCTCCATGACCATTTTATTGTCTGCTTGTTATAAAGGACTAGGCTATGATAACTCTCATTTCAGGTAAAATGTAGTGTGAAAAACTTGACTTGTATTGCCCCGAAAAAAGAAAAAAAAAACCTAATTACAATAAATACATTGGAAAAGGCAATCTAGGTCATGCTGCTCTTCCTTTTACTGTCAGAGGAGGGCGCCAAATCCTTTAGGAAAAAACAGCTCAGACTTGGTCCTGCCATTGATCATTGTACATCTATTTATTTTGAAAACCAATCAATAATGTCACATCAAATGAAGGCATATACCTCATACAGAATATATAAAATAAATGACATTTATTTAGTAAAGCTGTGACCATGGGGATCAAGAGCTTAGAGGTTTGTGCCATGTACGGTCATGCAGGTTGTGGATCTGCTGTTGTTTTCTGTTACAGAGGCCCTGCAAGTGAATTAGATTAATCATTTCTGTGAACAACATAAAAAAAGAAAACTGTCTTAAAGTACAGTTCAACATTTTGGAAAGTAAGTTGACGAAAAGTAGCAATATGTCCCAACCTGTGTGAGCATATACAACTCTACAGCGCTTGCTTTCTGCAGCTTGTTTTTAATCAAAACTTGAGCAGCAATGTTAAAAAAAAATAACAGAGTTGTGGTTCAAGGGGGAGTTCTTCGAGGCATGTTGGGATTATTTATTTGTCTGCAACAATAGTATCATCCACCTCCAACCTCAGTGCAGAAACTAACTCTTTGTTTATACTACTTCCTTTAATATCAGTTTCTGTACAGCCACAATGCTTCCAAATGTAGCCCTCACTGTGCGAAAAGAAACCTGCACCCAGCTAACTGAAATCCATTATATGTACCAGCTTGTGGCACTGAGCAACTTGGCCTTTGCACTACAGTTTGAATATGAACAAAATAAACACATTTTAAATTATTAGTTTGCAACTGCTAGTATTTTTAAGTTTCTGCCCAATGAAGCTATGCCTGCTTTTTAAAGTCAACTAAATAAAAAGAAACACTTGGCTTTATTTCTGGTGTTAATCTTTTCTCAGATAAAAGGGAAGTGAGTGAATCCTACAAAATGAAGAACCATTTTATTAGCACTGTAAAAACAGGCTGTATTTGGACAGAAGACTCCTCCTTCCTTCAGTCTTCAACCTAAGCTCAGCTTATTGCCCTCTGGCTCCAGTTCAAGAGTCATGCATCAACACTCTCTAGTCCTTTAGCTCAAAGGTACAGCTCAGATATTTCAAAAGTGGAATATTATGGAGCATACTGTAGCTGATGCAGTCATGTTACATGTGACATATACACACATATACGCAGGCCACTACCAACAATTTGCTTCTGGTTTTCTGCTCTATCTTCTGTCACATCCTCTCAGATTAAAAGAATCAAAGTCAGAAAAATACAACTTAAAAAAACAAAAACTTTTGAATATAGGTATGCTGAAAAAAGTGTCAAGCTGAAGTTGCGCTGCCCATGTATTACTGTACACGCAAGAATTTTATATAAGAGCTATAGGGGATTTGGTTTTAATCCACTTTAACAGGCATATGGACCAGGTGAACCATGTAGGCTCACATGAGTTTGACTGTGCATTTTATCAATGACAATTTGGCTCTGCAAAGCTCACTTGCCTAATGACCAAAGGTGAATCCTTTTTCTAGGGGTTAAAAAACTTCCTTTTCTGTTCAAAGTAGTTTTAAGAGGGAAAAGGTAAATCGATTAAAATTATAAACCACATTTGATCTAAAAAATCAGACACTTTTCCCAGCCCTGTATTTAACTTTACCACCAAAAGTGCCATATTTGACTCCATTGAACCTTCTCTTTAATCAAAATTGGCACTTTTCCAAAATTTTGAACGATTTAAGTGAGTCTGGTTCCACACAAAAAATTGGCTTTCATTATTTTTAGCATTGCAGGATGGCCACTGTTCACAAGATTACTGTCTGTGAGGACAAAACTGCTGCTGCAAGTTTTGCTTATATTTATTGACTATTTAACACTGATGAATACAAAGGCATCACATAATGACTGATGCCAAATGAGCATACTCTTTCCCACAGAGTCCGTCTTTTAGTCAGCTAAGGCTGTCTTTGTAGTGTCATCCTTTGAATTTGTCCGCAGCTTTCCAACAGTCCACCATCTTCACACTGTGCAGTTCATCAAGCCCCACTGATGTGCAGGCAGTGCTTACGCATAAGAATCATGCTGACGGTAATGACATACAAATTAAAACAATATATTACAAGTTAACCCTGTTGAAATGAGAGCCAAAAGGTAGTTTCAGTACCAACACAGACCGTTTGTCAAATGGAGATTGAATGTTTATGGTATTTTCAGCGAGGTGGAGCACCCCTATGATGAAGTCCTGACCTGCATTGAAGATACAAAATGTTTACATCTGATTGTCAATCAAACAAACAAAAAAAGCATTTAGTGTATATGTCATCCAATCAGACAACCGTGCTGTAACAGTTAGTGGTTTCCAGGAAGCTCAAAAATTGAATCAGTTCAGTAAAGCAGAAATAAAGGGATGGTGCACACATATAAGAATACATTCCTCATCATATACAAAGCAGCAGCCACATTTGTACATCTTCTACATCTCTGATACTGCCAACAACGTCAAAGAAAAAAAAAATGTCAGTTTGGTCGCATGATCGCAAAGTAAAATCTACAAAATGCATAATCTCTTGTTGTTTACATGTAAGTGAACAGTTGTATTTTATTTGGTGAGATGCTGGTGAGAGGTGAATGAGTGAGGTGAGTTCCAAAGCAAAGTGTTTTTTAATGTATGCTCCATACAAGAACAGATTACCAGCTTTCACAGTCAAAACTCTAACACTGAAACATACACGACACTTTGTGCCAAGCTAGTAACAGCTATAACTCTTATGCGTGCACAGACATGTAATCGTCATGAAAGTAGCTTACTGCTGACCATCACAAGCTTTCACAGCTGGTCTAATTAGTGTCACAAGTCTGCAAATACCAACAATCCCTCTCCAAGAAAAGCTGAAGTTATGTCAATAGTATGTTCTTAGTTTATGCCTCAAACTCCCTACAGCTCCAGTGAGTTTTAACTGGTCTTGAAACTGACTTAAACTAATACTGATGCCACTTTGTGACGTCCAATAGAAAATGAGACAGTTTTAAGAGTGACAGTTTCTTTTTTTAGTCTTTTTTTTTTTATGTCTGTGAGCACTCCACAAGGCTCATTTGCCTGATAGTATGCTAGTGTTTTCTTGAAGAGAATGACAAGAATGAGGGTGAAAAGTGAGACAAGGTGGTCGGCCTGACAAAGTATCCTTCATGCTTCATTTTCCCAGTAAGATGCCATAACAAAACGGAAAACCTCTAATTAAAATTTCATAAAGGTAAATTGATTGCACTGGTGTACAGGACGTAGCTCACTATACAGATGACAAGTAAGGTAATAAATAATTGATATTACTTTCATATCTGCTTATCGATGATGGTGCCAAATTTAAAGAGGATGAAGCAGAGCAAAGTGCATGCTATCCAAACATCTACCATAGTTTTGTCTTGTTTATAACTGCATTGAAAGTCATACATATGCCAGTTGGTGGCTTTGCAATGACAAATAATGTACATTATTTTATCAGCATATTCAAGATGATTAAATTACATGACCTGTCCTGCACGCTAGCTTAATTACTTAACAAATTTTGCGTTTTTTTGAAAACTGCCTGTAATCACTTAAAATTCTGCAAGTTGCTAACTGTAGGGTCAAGCTGTGACCTGCTGAAAAGTGAAACCAATGTAGAAGTATGCAGAACTGCAGTTCCTTAAGTGTCCACTTGAGGCTGTCTCCAAAAAAACAACGAGTTCCCATTTGGTCCCATTTGGTCCTATGTTAAAATGCCAATTTTCGCTTCACAACTAAAAGTGATTATAGTCAGGATCTGAAAAATGGATTTGAATAAAATAAATGGCAATAGTTTTACATACTTTTGCATAAATAGGAAACTGAGTTGATTGGCAGGTGGGTGCGTTGTCCCTGTTTACCCAGAGCCCACCTAAGCTCCACTTCTTTTTTTGTTTCTTGATTGACTAAATGTTGGTTTGTGTGAGTATTTTCAACATGACGCCTGCCATCATCAGGCGCCATGTTGAAACCATTGTGTGTCACAAGTCCATGATTTGTACACTCTATGCGCTAGCTGGAGGGTCAGCATTTCTGGTTGCTAACCTAATTGATTTCTGGGCTCGATTTTTTAAAATTTCCTTTATTTCTGGTTAAAATTTCCTCGTTTACTGCTGTGAGGCAACACAGATAAGCAAAAGCAACTGCTTAAACCCTAACTCCTATATGCTCTAAAATGGTGAATAGCTAGCTGTGCATGTATATAAACTATAGAGGGATTCAAACTACCTATTTACCTCGTTCTGATCTTATTTCTAAGGTAACTTCAAAACAAAATACACTTGTGAAATGGCTAAGAGAAAAATATGAAGATATTTCCTGACTATTCATCTAGACCCCTGCACTTTATTAGGCAGGAAAGTGCACCGGGAAGCATGAGTGAAAGGGGCAAAGACATGTGATCCATCCAAACCTAATCCAGGATACTGGCCCTTAAAACTGTGGTCTGCTGAGACTCTGGTGGATTTGGAGGGGTGTAAAATCCATGATAAAAGAAATACTTAACAGATTTTCCTCCATACAGAATTTAACCCAAATTTCCCACTGACACCTCTGGAACACAGCTAAGAATCCCACAAAAGCAGCAACTATCCACATGATTAGATTTAATGAGCTGGCGCCGGCTCAAATCTGAATTAAATATTTCTTTTGTGAATTGAGCGTTGAACAGAGAAACAGCTGCTTGTATCAGAAACAAACAGCTGCAGGTGAAATTTAAACTCCCTTCCATCGTAATCAAACAGATCCTCATCACTGCTGCTGAGAAAGTCTGCAAATGACTGACTACATACGTGCTGTATGTTTGTCTTGCTCTTGTTCGTGCTATCGTACAATGATCTAGATGGGACCACCTACTTCAATTACAAATGCCTATGTTTTTGCACACACCTAAACTAGAATTATCTATATTCTTTACAAAAACAATAATCATCTATTCACAGAATGATCAGAGTCAGTTTGGCGTTAGTGCACACGTAGCTTACAGTAGCAGTAGGAGCACATTGATTAACATGGTGACACTTATTTAAGAGTGCACTGTGTCTGTTCACATTATTATTTAAATAGTGACCTGTTAGCTTTTATCTCTATAGATTTCACTATTATTTACAATTTTACAGTCACAAAAAATGCAGGGAAAGCATTGCACACACTTTGACAGGTAGAAACCCACAACATACGTCAGACGATAGGAAGTCATAGTCCAATGACAGGTTTGCTCTTCTGGTATGCTCTGTAGTCCATGTTGGGAACTCCAAGTTGGGAAAGGGAGTGTTGGCTATGCTCTAGGCAAAGTCAAAGACTTAATCACCTCTGCGTAGACCAAACGAGGTCCAAACAGGCTGTCTCTGGCTACACCACATGGATTTATAGATACAGCTTGCCTAAAAGATACACATCAGGATGTACAGTGGCCCTCATGTTAGAAACAATCCCAGTCGTGAGAGGAACCGACAGAGGGCATGAAGCACAAAGTGAGGAGGTGACGAATGGTGATTTCAGGAGCCTGAGTGACTTGGTTTCAATGGACAGCTGTGAGGCGAGGTGAGCTCTTGGTGTGACAGGACAGTGTGGGGACAAAAAGAGTTCACAGTCAGCAGTGGCAGCCCTTCTCAGCTGTTGCAGTAGCTAGCTCCTCTTCATCCTCCGGGTAGAGGACCTTGGCAGTGAGGCCACTCTTCACTCCATCCCACCCATCGCGAGTGACAATCTCCCCCATCTTCATCAGCTCGTAGATGTCTCTGGTCAGCAGCTCGAAGGCCCGGTCCACGTTGCTGTTGCACTTGGCCGATGTCTCCACGTAACGGATGCCGAGCTCGGCCGCCAGCTGCTCGGCCTCGTCCCGGCTCACTTTGCGGTCCTTGTTGAGGTCGCTCTTGTGGCCAATAAGGATGTAGACCATGTGGTGAGGCAGGATGTGCTCACTCACCTCTTTGTGCCACTCCCTCACATGGTCAAAGGTCTTGCGATTGGTGAGATCAAAGACTAGCAGCCCACCCACAGAGTTACGGTAGTATGATGTTGTGATGGACCTGTTGGGTGGAGAAATGAACGACATATTAGCATTTGAAGGCATAAGTCTCATGGCTATCTTAATGCTAAGTTTCATTTTTGTATTCTTGGCTGTTAGTGGCCAAATTTCAAAGTGGTTTCAAGTCTGTATGTCTTTGTTTTCTGTATATCCTAACCCTAAACAATAGCATCTGCAACAAGACTGATGTGTTCAAGTTTTAATATGTATTATGTGAAACCGCTGTGAGGGGTGTAGGTATCAGAATGAACAATTGACAGCATGCTGATGAAAAAGTCATTCATATTTTCCACAGCACATTTTCAAGGGGCTCCAAAACTGATGAAATCAAGCGTGATAAGGCCCGAAATAAACTTGCTGAGGCTGTTTGGCGTGACGGTTGTGACTGTCCTCAAAAATTACTCAAAATGTGAGCACAAGATACAGTATGCACGTGATAACTGTAGGGTAGTGCAGAGGCAGACAGGATGTGTTAGTCATGATAACAGTAAGGGAAACGGTGGCAGAAGGCGATAGATTAAGTCTGAAATCATCCAAATCCAAATGATGTGTCACTGGCACCTCACAGAGACAAACATGACTTTAAATAGCTGGAGAGAGATATTTCAAACCTCCTGAATGAAATGGATACAAATCTGAGATGAGAAAACTGACTGAGGCTACTTCTGAGGGTGTGCCCTGTCCAGTCATATTCAGTCTTTTAAGCCGATCCAGAAATCTGTCAGTGAGACTCAGAATTGATCATATTGAAATAACTGCAAAGAAAAATAAGAGCTGAGAGGACGTAAAGCCCTTGAATGGGCAGGACCATAGCACAGGGTAATTTTTGTGCTTGTTCTGCCAGTAATATTTAAATACTGGAAATACGATGCTGCTCTGGCAGACTTATCGCAGGGCTTGCAGTCTGTGTTGTTTTGACATGTAAGTAAAATCTTTGGGAGGTGCACACTAGGCTGCATGTTTAGACTCACGCTGTAGATACAATGTTATGTGAACCTATATGCTATGGCACAGATTTGATGTAGAAGCAGGAACCAGACTTTGTGTTAGTAATATACACGGTAATGTACTTAAACGTGTTGAATCTCTGGCCTTAACACCATGCACTGAACAAACTGCAACTAGAAAATGCGGTTGTTGGCACTTTGCCCCGTACCTGTGTGCATGGTGTGGCTGTTTGCACAGTAGAATGTAAATTTACTAATAATGATATCCAACTCTATTTGACACAAGGTGAAAATTTGGACATCGACCATGTACAAGAAATGGAAGCTACAGACAAACAGTGTCTTTTCATTACATTTAGTTAATTTTTACTGTGTGGATATAGCAGCGTATGTGTTATAATGCATATGGTCACTTATGTTGCAGAAAACAAGAAAGCTATGACTAACTAGAGGGTTCAATACAGAACATGTCAACTTCTGTCTCTGTAAATTTTTTGTTAAGCAGTTTGCACTTCGACAACCTCATTAAAGCTGAGTTGTTGTGTTTGATTAAAGATACCAAAAACAGCAAAGAAGCTGTTGTGTCTGGGCTGTCCTCGATGTGTAGATGCAGAAGGAGGCTTCGTGACACTGGCTTGCTTGTATAAGAGGAGTTTATTATAAAGACAAAACCAGTATCAGAACAGCACTGTAGTTGCTGGGAGAGGACTGCCAATGATGTCCAGCTCTCCCTGACCACAGTTTGTAATCCTGTTATATAGGGTCATCCTCTCGTTGTTCCCCAGCTATCTGTTTGTTTGTTGTTTATCTAGTCTGGAATCGTGACCTGTGAACTGTGACCTGTGCTCTACAAGCACTCAACAGCCAGGTGACCCACTGTCTACAATCCACACTTTGATTAGTTCATGTAACTTTGGGAAATACCTCGGCCTGGTATGTTGATGCTGTACTCCAGATACCACAAAGCAAAACATTTGGTCCCCTAAAGGCTCAAAGACCCTTAACATATTGTCCCACTGGCCTAAGTCTGGCAATAAATCATATTATATTGCACAGCATTGATTTGGTGTTGCTGCCTGAGCTCACAAACACTCCTTGTGCTCGATTCAGACAGAAGTGAAAGACTTGTGTAGTGAAGCTTGTTAGGAAAACACCCTCTGATGCTTTGGCTTCAAACGAGAAAGCAGATCTGAGAGCAGAGCTGCTCCTCTAGACACAGGAGTGCCTGAAAGGAAATTATCCATGACAGCTAGGACACATGAAACGGAGCAAGCAACAGGATAGCTGGGTAAATCCTAAACACCAGATTTGGGTAAAGAGTTATCATTTTGTTGCCCTGGAGACGGTGGAGTCAGGACTAGGGAGCCAATCTGGGGCCTAAATATGAGGAGGCTGCCCATCATCCATCCGTGAATGAAGGCAGTGATGCAACTCCATTTTCTCACTTGTTTTAAAGGCGAGGGCATCGACAGATCGAGGTCAATATAATCGTCTTTCCACACAGTCTACACTCACTTCATTACATCAGAGGAAATGGCCTTAATTCAATTTAAAGGGCTTCATTTTATATAAACCAGACACGAAACGAGCAAGCTAAGGCCTCTACATTATTCAACACCAAATCTCTCATTTTGAGTGAATGATCGCCACATTTGACTCGTTCTATTCAGCCCACGTTTATATTTACCTGAATCTTTCCTGGCCAGCCGTGTCCCAGAGCTGCAGCTTTATTTTTACCCCGGGCTCGATATCGAGCGAGCGGGCATAAAAATCTACCCCGACCGTTGGATCCGCCACATCGCTGTAAATTCCGTCCGTGAAGCGCTTCAGCAACGACGATTTCCCCACCGTGGAATCTCCGAGTAAAATTATCCTGAACTGGTATTGCCACAAAATATCCATGGCATGACTAGAAGAAGGGAGAAGCCTGCGAAGAGCGTGTGTGTGTGAGTGTGTGTGTGAAACAAAGCCCTGTGTGCGGAGTGTTTACATGAAGCCCCGCTGCTGCTGCTGCTGCTGCTGCTGCCTTCTGCTCAGAGACGCCGAGCTATCATGTGATAGTTTTACCTATGCACTGAAACACATGACATTTGACTGCACCTATAAATCTACTACAAGACATGAATAAGACACTTGTACGTTAGGCTCAGAGATAAGCCGTAATTCGACTTTAAACCACAGGAAAATTCATGTCTGTGTCGAATTTATACATATGTAAACTGCTTATCCGAGCAGTAGGAATTTCACCGTCGACTGACACTCACAAGTATAGGGCCATGAAGGCACCAGAGAGGATTTTAGCATCTTTGTGTGACATTCTCGCTGATTATAACATGGTACATTCAGTTATTCTTCGCTACAGCCACTTGGATTTCTCATGTGACTTCTCATGGCTGTGAACACAAGCAATAGATCGATGTTTGTAGGCAGGCTGCTGTCCGTGGTTCTGAAGTGGGTTAAACGGGTTTTCTGTGTGGTTTAATGTAATTTAACACGAAAAATCAAAATTAGATGTTTTAAAATGGAGGGAAACGTATGATAAATTTTCATAGATTGACTTTGTGTACGTTTCCATTTGTTTGCTGGGCGATAAACCAAAGAAAAGAGCTGGATTCCTAAAAAGATTTAAAAAACTACATTTCCCTTTATTCAGCTAGCTCATGTGACGTACTCGAGCCAATCAGCGGCTTGCTTATCGGCGCTAGGTGTTGTGCCGTAGAATGCACCCCTACCAACGAATGCACCCCCTGTATCCCATCCACTCGTTAGCTTCTTATGGTGAAGGAAAATGATCTCCTATATTAAAAAAACACGAGTATTTGGTCGTGACAACCTTTGCTCTGTTTTTATGTGTCTCAAAAATGCAAATATAGAGGTGTGCTTGGGTATATAAACTGTACAGTGAGCTGTCATGGTAGAGAGCATTATATAGTCGGGACAGCAAATATTCCAAAACAGAGGGTTATTTTTTCGGCTTATCTGAATAGCCTGAATGAAATCATTAAAAGCACACGCTTTTGAATCCATCTAATGGTAAGGAAAACTTCATTGTTATGTACTTTCAACCGCACTTCCGTCGGGGGTGCATTCTACGGAAGGGGTGCATTCTTCGGCATAACACCTAACACCGGCGTATAAAGGAGCGCGTGCGCCGTTTCTCTGCCTCTTCCGTTTCAGGCTGTTGAACTGAGCAGAACACCACCAAAGCGAAGTGAGGTAAGACATTTCCAAGTTTTTTTTCCGTCATGAGATTAAGTTTCTCGCATTTAGAATGTCGAATTAGACAGCTATTATTAACAGTTAATGGCTTTAAGACTACTTAAATGTAGACGTTAACGGGTAGCTTGGGCTCCCTAAAATGGCTATAGTTAGCTTATGTAGCTGCTAGCACTGCTGCGTCAGGGAATGCTTAATTGTGCTGCAACTATCTTAACAAATCTTAAGAAAGTCGCGATGTGACGACGAGTAAATCTGTTCGTAAATTTAGATGATAAAAGAAGTAGCCAAACCAGAATCATAACGTGGGTTTACGCCAAGGCAAAGAACCACGTGGTCAGGTCGTTGGGTACGCTCGGTAATAATGCCCACGACGACTTTTATCATTGACTTAAAAGTATAAGGGTGCAAAGTTTGACTCGACATACTTATTCTTATTATTTTTTTCGTTTTCTAGAAGATGTCCCAATTTTATTTAGGGATAAACGGATCGGTGATAAAGGTTAAAGCGCAACAAACTATACAAAGTGAACAGCAGCAGGGTGTGGCACAAATTACAAATATAACTGCAATGTTAAAAGGCACTGCACTATCAGCATCAGGTATTTGTTCACCACTTTGACGAGTTGGGTTTACCAATATAGATTATCTACAGGCCCAGGTTCTTTTTTGTGCTAGTTAATCTAAAGAGTTCATAAGCTTATGCATAACTTCCTTTTTAGATATTGTAGTCTTAACTAGAATTGTGGCAGGTTAATGTGCAAATGGATCCTACGATCTGGGTGAATCCATCTTAAAATCTCACTTTTTAATTTGTCACTTGTGTTTTGGAAATCCAGAGCAAGGCTTTACCTTCTCCTTCTCTCTCTACAGGTCAACCAGAAACAAACTCACCCCAGTTTCTCCAACCATGATTGTCCGTTTGAAATGCAGGTAAACTTTTCTCAAACTTGATTTGTCTTTTGTTTGAAAAGGCTCTTATCGAAGCCGTTTATGCTCTCCTGTAGCAGAAAGTGGTCAAAAGGAGCCGAGATGAAAACTTTCACCGACGGTCGCTGTTCAGTTTGAAAGTAACTGTTTCAGCAACATTAAGGGGAAGGACAACATTGTGTGGAGAATTAAAGATTAAAATCCTAAAATGTAGGTATGGTTTGTGTTTCTTGTAATCACATTTTAAAACGCTTATTTTCCAGGTGTTTAACATTGGAGATGGAAGGAATGGAAATGACCACACTACATGAAGGTAACTAACTTTGCCTCTTTAGTTGAACAGTATTACTGGCTGTGATGACACACTTGCCCTCACTGAGGTCAGGCTTGATTGAGACATTTTGTGTACCTGAGCCACATTTACAGAGTGCTTTTAGAAAGTTGGAAAAAAAAAAAAAAAAGACTTGCAAAAACTGATGTTGCTACTCTTTCAGGTGACCCTCCTGGCTAACTGACCTGTGACCTGACAAGGATGTCTCATGTAAAGGTATGTTTTATCATTAACTGTCACTCCATTCTTCTTTAAAGCATGCTATCCTAAGGACCCGGGCTTGTTGTGTAGCTCTCGGTTCTCCAAGTGCGTGCTAGAAAACCGGGTGGTCTTTGACTGTTGTGGCTTCTTGTGCCATCAGCAGCCACTCAGCTGTCCAACAGTTAATGTGTTGGTTATTTTAACTTTCCAAATATTGAAAGAAATCTCAAGGTCAACTTTCTTTTTGCAGAAGATGACTTGACTGGCCTCGGGTCTCATGTCGTGGGTTACCTAAACTCACATGGCTACCTGGCGTTTGCAGGTATGTATAATACTTCTCCCACGTGCATAGTTGATCTGATCTATGATGACTACATAATACAATGGTGACTGTTGGATGAAGCTAGCGGATATGGGGCTGAGATCAGCTCACCAATTGATGTATAATTATGATTGCAGACCTGTGCTAAATGAGATGTCCTTCACATTACAGGTCCAGCATCATGAAGACCTGTGAGCGAGCAGGGAGGGGAGTTGGTCTGAGTCCACCAAAGAGTGCTGTCGATACTCAAGTGCTGTGTAAAAGTTGTTCACTTGGATTGACTTAGTTCTGCACCGGTGTTGTGACTATTACTGACAACTGTATCATGTTGAAATAGAGCACTTTGAAACCTGTCCACTGTATCTTTTTAATATATTAAAACCTGCACAACTTGTATATTTTGATCCCTTTCTTTTTATTTTTCACTCCCTAAAATTCACATAACATTTGAAGCCATTTTGATTGGAGCAAGCTGCAAACCCATAATAACTTATTTACAGCAAGGCCACGACAGTATACAGGTTTAAGTAAAAGTAACTGACTCCAGTCCAGTATGGATATTTACTCCAGGAAACACTTCCTCCTATTTCATGTCAGCAGTCTGGGTCATCCAGAGTCCATTTCTGAGTCAGTCCAGGACAACTCTAGGGAGAGAGGGTTAAGCACAGCATTAATACACAATAGAAACCATGAACAGATCACTTAACTACTCTGGTAAAGGCTAATTCAGTGCCATATTTTTCGCACTATAAGGCGCACCATCGATGAATGTGTCTGTTTTCATGCATAAAGCGCATTAAGCCAAACAACACAAGTCAAACTTTATTTAGCTCATTCAATAACTGTGAGGCAACGGAAGCTGCAGTGCTCTGACAATCCAAACAGATTTTAAGTGCACCCTCTAGTGCGTAAAGATCACATTTCCTGATCTATGATGAGAATTCTAGGACTGAAACCCCATCAGGGTTTTCTCAAATTCCGGTATTGTAGTTTTTAACTACAGCGAATAGGAAATAAATGATCCAGTGTCTGCTTACTCGTCCCAGGGTTGTTTCAGCTAAGACGCCCTCAGAAATGCATTTGGCTGCTTTGATATTGATATCACAGTACTGTAAGTATGTTATTGCAGTCTTGCTTTCATTTTATGTTAGCTAGAGTATGATTTACTCATGAAGGGCTGACCAGGGCTGTAGAAAAACACTGTACTGCCAATTTGTCCCAATGTCTTCCAGCCCTACACTTAAGTGTGCACAACAAAACCCAGAAAGGGTGGTAACAGGAGACAGTTTATTTTAGAGGAATGAGAGGAAACGGATCAGGAAATGTACATATGGAAATGAATTTGGTGTGCGTGCCCAGCATCATCTGCGGCAGGAGGAACAAGAGGACTTTACTTCTTGTGCCAGCTTCAAAAGGTGAAAAAAGGTTGAAATTACTCAAAGTTTTGGTCCATCATTCAAGCGAGATGTTACACTGCAATCATGACACATCGCACCAAATAATACAGAGTGAAATTCACAGACAGCTCTTCAGGCACACATGTCATCACAACACTTCTAGGCCACCAGTTTTTTCAGGTGGAGCACACACTCTATATTTCACTAAAATTGTGGGTCAGGCAAAATTGGAGTCCAGAGTTTTCTAATTGTGAAACCCTACACCTGTAATGAGAATAAAATTCCACTCGGGATAAAAATGTACCCCTTTAATAATGTCTGAATAACATATTTCAAAATGGAGTCGAACTGCAAGAGTCCACATTTCTAAAACAGTGATGCCTTGCTTCAAATGTACCTCTGTGTCATTCACTTGAGATGGAGGGTAATTTCAGCTCTGAAATCTCAGAGTCTGGGGTGCTGCTGCCACTCCGATCACTGTATGTGTCCCTGTATGTCACAGAAAGAATTGAAGAGTCAAGTCAGATATCAGATCTAACACAACTTCCTTCACAGTGACTGGGACATGATGGGACTGATTCGGTTTACCGTGGAGACAGACGGCAGCCCTTCTGTAAGTAGCTCTGGAGCTTTCCAGCAGCGGCGAGCAGCAAACCGAAGTAAGGAGGTGATGGCTTGATGGGGCGAGATGTGAACTCAGGGTGGTACTGCACTCCGACGAAGTATGGATGATCTAAAGACAAAATAATGTACACGGTCAAAATACGAAGGACTAGAATTTTGGTGTGGACATTTTCATCTAAAAAATGTCCTACATGAACCTGTTGCATCAACCTTCCTCCTGCCACCAAACTCCATTAACAAATGTAGTCATTTTAATTAACAGAACAAAAAAATTGCATAACATTTTGAATCTATTAGACCATTAAGAGTGTTAAAACAGGTCCAGGTTAGCTAATAGTAGTACATCTCTTTGAGGAAGAATTGATGTTTCGTACCATCCAGCTCTATGACCTCCATTCTCTCCCCTTCGACGTCTTGGCCAACGAAGCGGAAGCCTTTCTCCTCAAAGTGACTTGTGAGCTCAGGATTGACCTGCACATACAAATAAATCACTGTTTACATCGATTTCCCATCAAAAAGTGGTTCAAAGCTTCTAAAAAACAGAAGGCAACAAACCTCAAAGCGATGTCTGTGCCTCTCTTCCACATACTCTGCATCTCCGTAAAGTCTGCCTGAAATACCGAACAGCTGTGAGCACCAAGAGGCAACAACAACACACCAATAATGCTGAAATTCAACTCAGTGGCAGAGTTGACTTATACTGAAGTCTCCCTTACGTAATATACTGTTAGTCGTCTTGAAAATGGTCCGTCTCTTCCCAAGCCTCATGGTTCCTCCCATCTGTCCTGGGTTGTGTTCTGGCATATCGATCACCTGGCAGATGTTTAGTATGAAAATATCAGGAAAAAAAGCACCTCTTAGGTTTAGAAACTAGGTTCTTTATGTATTTAAAAAAAATCTTACCACAGGATATTTTAATTCTGGGTGGAATTCAGTAGAGTTGGCATCTAGGAGGGAGAAAGGCAAAGACAAATAATCAGTCATGCATACGTTGTGTGTTTTGAAGGGAATCACTTTTATACAAATGCTGAAAAAAAGGAACTTAAATGTTGCAGCATCTGTGATTATCTGTGAAGTGAACTGTTTCCTTTCAATCTTTAGACTGTGAACAGCACTGCAGTTCTTCACATTCAAATTGAGCTCGGGGCAAATCCTGTTTCTGAGTCAAATAAAATCTTAAGTAGTGGATAATTTATTAGCTTTTCCTTATTTTCACTGGAACTTACCATCAAACCAGACCAGATAACACAAGTACAATCAGATTAACCTTGAAATGTAAATACGAAAAGCTGCACCAGGGTTGTTATTCGTACCTTCCCAGCCCAGCACGTTCCTTGCGAACTCACATACGGCCAGCTGCATTCCTAGACATACACCTGCGGACACACAAGGATTTAGACAACCTTAACTCTTATGAAATTAGTAGATTTGGTTGAACTAGAGCAATAAAAATGATTGTTTTATGAGTAATAAGAGGCTGATTTTAAATTTGATACTGGGACCACGTTAAAAAAGGCAGCACAGAACTATTATGAAAAAATTTTGTTTTAATTAAAGAAAAGGTTTTAAACTATTTTCAAACCATTAATTCAGTTTTTTCCCCAACATTTTACTCAGCTCTTATGGAACTGGCGTTGTAGTCGGAAAAAAAAAGAAAAAATAATCCCAGAAAATAAAAAAACTAAAATAACACTGAGTGGTTCAATCATGTTAATCCTGATAGCACTGTGTACCTAGGAAAGGTTTCTTCTGTTTCCTGGCCCAGTTGATGGCATGAATCTTCCCTTCAGTTCCTCTGACACCAAAACCTCCAGGAACGAGGATGCCACTGAAGACACAAGCGGGACAATACAGTTAATAAGCGCACACACTGAATATGATCTAACTGTTATACTTGGGAGAAAAGTTTCCTCATCACTCACTCTGCACTGCAGAGCTTCTGCCACGCTTCATGGTATTTTACTGGTTCTTCCTGCAGAGTGCTTGGCTCCAAATACGCTGAATCTATATACTGAGGGGAAGACACAGGGGTGGCTTTAGGAGGGGAGATCTTAAGAGATGGAATAACATCAACCAATCCAGACTGAGTGTTACTACACCTTGCAGTTACCTTGCTTTTTGTAGGACTAGCCATTGGGTGACTGATTGATCAGGACTGTTTTGAGACAACATTGCATAACTGATGTTTCTAATATTGTTCTTTACATTGTGTCTGAGACTTGAGTCTAATTTCACAGTTTTTACTACCCTTGATTATTGTATCCATGTCTGTGTTCCTGCTGCTAAAACAATCAAGATAAAGACACCCAGAATCTGAATCTGAGCAAGATAATAAGCAGAGAGGTTTAACAATACTGAGTTCATACCTTGACCTCCAGTTTATGGCTGATCGCCAGAGCCGAGTGCTCCAGCGCCTTGATGACTGAAGCATAGGAGTCTGAAAACTTAGTGTACTTCCCCACCAGAGCTATAGAGCAGTGTTCCAGCAGTCTATCTGACCTGTGAGGACAGAGTGCGTGTTAATATAGATGGAATATAGAATAAAATCAGCGATTCAAGGAGACAGAACTCGTGCTCAGCTGCTATCTTTGTTCTCACCTATCGGACATCTCCTTCCACTTGGTCAGCATCTTTCGTGGTCGGGTCTCTATGGGCATGTTGAGTCTTCGGCTCAGGTAGCCCACCACGCCCTGATTCTCCAGCAGTAGCGGCACTCTGTAGATGGAGGAGACGTCGTGGACACAGATGACCTGCGGGCGACATTACAGTGAGTGTGGAGTGCCTGAGAGAGTGAGGTCTCCGAGTCTGGAGCGTTAATGTCAGTGACGTACCTGCTCGGGTTCCACATGGCAGAACATTGAGATCTTCTCTTTGACAGAGTTCTCCAGAGCCGTGGAGCAGCGACACATAATCTGATGGCAAAGATGCAACCTCTTAAGCATAACTCACATGTATTAAATATAAACGCATTAAAATAATTCATGTCCTGTATTTCAATACGCTTTGACTACATTTTCATTATTTGCACACCTATTTTATAAAAGAGGCGAGTGTGAAAGAAGCAAGACAATCAAAAAGTGCAAACTCCTACACACTGCTCAACCTGCACAAATGTATATCAGACTATGCCTGATGAAGATCTAGGATCAAAATGTGACAACTATATACTCTTGAGACTTGAAAAGTGTGCAGGAGCTTGCCTTTCTTGTGAAATAGTTCAAAAACACCATATGCATCCAATACACAGAAACAATAAAATGGAGCATTTATTCAGAGGAGTGTGGACTGCAGACGACTCACCAGATCAGGGGACAGTCCCAGTCCTCTCAGCTCTCTGACGCTGTTCTGGGTTGGTTTTGTCTTCTGCTCACCAGTTGCACTGGGCTGTAAACAAATAATGACAATGTTATACACTGATAAGACAACTTCATCAAGTCTCAAAACGAAGCGCTGAAAATACATTTCTGCACCCCTTGAAGATGTATCTTTTTTTTTTATCTTCTTTTTTTAAAGCTTGACTATTTCGTTAAATTTGTGGATTTATTGTCAGTAAAAAAAATGCAAACATCAACATGAACCAGGAAATTAACAGTGACTTAAAGGCGTTGTCGTCTTACCTGTGGTATCAAACTGACGTGGATGTTACAGAAGTTCTCTCTCTTCACTTTAAACTGAAACTGCCTGAAGGCCTCGATGAACGGCATGCTCTCGATGTCTCCAACAGTGCCTCCCAACTGCAAACAGTAACAGAGATCACACATTTTATCAATGACAATCACGTATGTCTCTACCTCAGAAGAATACTGAGGGTGCGATTGTAACCAATCATGAAAAATGTTCAGCCTACCTCTATAACACAAACTTGGGGCTCTACATTATCGTCGTCGACAGATACTTTGGCCTGTTTCATTACCCATTCCTGGATGGCGTCTGTGATGTGTGGAACAACTGAGAGGGAAAGAAATACGCCAAATCAGTCCAGACATTTCTCCTCCTAACAGTTAACCCTGTTAATGTTCTTCTAAAGCAGCACTTTACCCTGCACAGTCTTGCCCAGGTAGTCTCCCCTCCTCTCTTTGTTTATGACTGACTGATAAATCTTTCCAGTGGTCAGATTGTTGTCTCTGGTCAACCGGATGTCAAGGAAGCGTTCATAGTTTCCCAAATCCAAGTCTACCTCACCTCCATCATCGAGCACAAACACTTCACCTGCACAGAGAGAAGCACAAATGTAACGTACACATGTATATAAATATTGATGATTAAAAAGAGTCTGGAGTGACTAGATTTCTCTTTCAATACCATGTTCATAGGGTGAAAATGTGCCAGCGTCTATGTTGATGTATGGGTCGATCTTGATGGCGGTTACATGTAGGCCACATGACTTCAGTATGGTCCCCACGCTGCTCGCTATAATTCCTTTACCGATACCTGAGATGACTCCTCCGGTTACTAGGATGTACTTCATCATTCTGCTCTGGTATCTGGAGATAAATGATTGAAATTGAAATAAAATGACACAAAACTGTATGTTGTTATGCTTTGGGTAGTATTTTTCTCAGGGAAATATCAAACAAATCTTAAATACACATACATAATATGAAACAAGTGTTAATATGAAGAAGTTAGATTCATTGGCTAAAAAATAACCCCTTGATAAAAGTAATTCCTCCAAACTCTAATTAAACGTGTATTTGTATTTTTTTGTTGTAAATAAATGTCTAACACCTTCACCCATGTGCTTCTAACCTCCACAGACCCCATGAATTGATGCCCATCTTCTAAATATTTGGTCACATGATCAATCTTTTTGACCATTTCCCAGCAACAGGGGGGGGGACTCAACTTACCCCACTCTCCCCTACTATTGGGTTCATCAAAATAAAGGTTCAGCCTCATTAAACTTCTACAACGTAACGCATGTAAAATATCAAAACGGTCCAACAAGCGTTGTCTAAAAGTGCCAAAAGTCAACAATGAACTCAAAGCGAGTAGTTTCCCAACTCTCCACCAAATATCACTTCAACCACACAAAGCATGGCACTAAGGAGCGCTGGGTTGTGCATACTGTGTAGGCCGGGCGGGTGGGGAATCCTCGTGTCCCTTCCGGAAAGGGCAGTATACATGAGGAGCCGCTCGTCGAGTTTGTCCCCGTGAAAACAGCGAACGACACAAATAATACCGCCAGCACATTAGCTTTTGGCTAACTCTTGGTGTAAGACATAGGCGGTGTAAGTTCATCTCTATCAGACACACAAAACAAACGCCAAGGGTCGTGTCTGCTGTCGACATGTATCAAACCCCATTTTCTGAAAAACTTCGCGGTTCTGGTAATGTCCTCTATCACAAAGGGACGCAAACTTGCTTCTCATTTCACATACTGGCGACGAACTCAAGCCTAAACATGTGTTCATTACTTCCGTTTTCCAAAATAAAAGCGACCTTAGCTCTCAATTGAAAGTTATGGCACTGAAAACAGCACCGTAGTTCAAAATGTTGTGTATTACAATATTTAACTCTCTTTCGCATTCTTTTTCTATTATCCATTGGGCTACTAATAAATTGAAACACGTCGTCTCTCTAATTTAAGTGTCCGGTTCAAAAGGCACAAACTTATTTTGACGGGTTTCAACCGGAAGCCACCGATGTTCACTGTTGAGCGGGTAACAGAACACTGTTTGCTAGCTAGCCAACATCCTCTGTTAACAGCATCAAATTACAACTTACCGAAATATTCTTCAACCAGAGCTGTCCTTCAAAACAACCCGTCGATGTAAGAAATAACTTATCACAAAACCCTAAGCGTGAGACAAAATAAAGACAGAGATAAACACGGCTGGTTGTGTATCACTACAGACTCATCTATCTCCTCAGTGTCTCTACACGTGTATGGACCACGATTCAGCTCTGCAGCACATCATTCATCCTCATACCAGCTTACAACATTGCGCTGCCTTCAGGTACGCCTCGGAAACTACTGATTCCCACGGTAAAACGCTGCAATGTTGCGTGTTTTTTGACATTTTTGAAGTTTCGTGACATTTTTCAAAACGTATTTCTACTCTACGTTTCTTATATCAGTTTATTTTTAATCAGGCATTATAACTTGATTGTTGGTTTTGTTTTGTTTTATTTTGGATCCACCAATAGTTACAACAAAATATGCAGTAAGTGGGTCATTACATGAAATCGGTTCCTTTTGCGTCCCCACGAAGTAATCATTCATAAAATTATAACAACAAATTAATATGTAATTTAAAAATATAACATTACCATGTTTTCTCTCCTTAATATAACATCAAATTAAAGTCAATTGAATATAATTTTAAATAACATAAATTACTATTATGCTGATGCTGAAATAGGCTTTCAACACTTACCATTATAATTAAAATAACATTATATTTTAGATTGGGCCATTTTTCTACATTTCTCTTCTAAAAAATATCTGATGTATGTTGAGACGTGATCGACATGCAAAATTAGGGTATATTTGATCATCTGAATGACAAATATCTAATCGGAGAAAAAAATCCACGAAATAAATTAATCTCAATGGAAAGAGAGACTAAAGTACTGCTAATATGTGTACCATATATTGCATATTTCTAATTAGAAATATTGTATTTTATTATGTTGGTAACAGGGTTGACAAGATTATGAAAACAGCTAGGAGAAAAACGGTTATTTAATATGAAATAACACAGCCTGAGATCGCACAATATCATTTCCTGCCATTTTCAACATTCTTTGATTCATGGGTACTTAAAAATTAACAATTAAATATAGTTTCAATTTTAAATTTTCTAAGCTGAAAAGGCACCTATTTCATGGAATGACCCAACTACTCTTCCTTGGGTCCTTATCTTCTTTTCCATTTTCATTTTGAACTTAGACATGTACTTACAGACATTCTACACTACATTCAAACCAGCTAATCACCTTCTAATTTAATTAAAATGTGTCATATGTCAGTTCTTTGTCATGTTTAATCTACTTGTTTCAAATGCATCTGCCTGTTGAAATTTATTGTAAAGTTAATTTCTGATGATAACAAGTAATATTTATGTGCATTCGTTATTTATACATGCATAATGCCTGAGCAAGTGTATTTTCTCCCTGCAGACAGTTTGCACACATATGGGCTGTGCTTATGTTTTATGAATGGGACCCCTTGTCTTTTTCCAGGATTTGCAATCTCTCTGAGGCGGAAGTGGTCAGAACTTCAACAACAATGTCCTAAAGAGGATAAAATTAGGGGACATTTGGCTTGAGACGTGTGTTTAAAAATGAGGCAAAAGAAGCATCCCCTCTTTATGTAAAAGAATTCAGCCACAAATATCTGGGTCTTTTTCTTTGGAGAGTCAAAGATAAGGCTTTGTGGAGACACAGAGAGCTAGAGTAAAGAGAGCCGGAGGGTTGTCAGAGAGTAGCTCTTATTCTCTCTTGCTTGTCAGAAAAATAAACCAATACATAAATAAGATGAAGACAGAAAAGTGAAAGGACAAACAGAACTTATTTTAGGGATAACAAGAAAACTTAATCCATCAGAGAGAAGAGCTGAACTCAATTTCATTCATGGTACTCCATATGTAAACAGATGCACCTTTAATTGTTTGTTTAGGCAACTTCTGTTAATGTCTGAAATTAAAAAGTTAGGTAATAAATTCCATGCCATCATGGCTCTGTAGTGGACAGTCCTTTTTATTGCCTCTGTTTTGCACAGAGGTAGCCAGGGATCTGCCTGATGCCTGATGTCCCTCAGGAAAAAAAGTTAGTTTATTAAAGAGTACTTCTGGGACTCTGTTTATAATAAAACCTTTTAAGAAAGATACCAATAGGTAATGCAATTTACATTGAACATCGAACCAGATAGTTGATTATGCATTGTTATGCTACTTGTTCTATAGGGACAATTTAGTGCTATTCGAGCTGCTTCATTTTGTTGGTTAAGTTTGTTTTTTAAATGCTTGGTTTTAATTAAAATAGCAGGCCTCTACCCTGTTGTTGTAATAGGAGATAGGGTATTTGATTGGGACTAAAGAGGACCAGATAAAAACAGTCTAGCCCACTAATTTAAATAATGTATTTGAATATAAAAAGTGGACAACCCATTGACAGTATAGGACGTGGATGTAGCCTCAGGGATGACCAGTGTTGGGTAGTAACGCGTTATTAGTTACGCCCTAACTTTATTTAGTAACTAATAACGTAACGCGTTGTTTTTTAAATTCAGTAACTCCATTTCCATTACCAAACACTCCTTGAAAAAACAAAGCACTTGTCACTCTCCAGCGTCATGTAATGGAGTCGACGCCATGAAGAGGACTGGACAGGTCAGGGCATGGTCAGAAGGGGAAGATAAGTTTCTCCTCCTCATGGATATACTCACATACATTATTTTTAACTCAAGAGCAAAAGGGAAAACAACATTTCGGTAACACGTAAACTGTGTCCCGGGTCAAAAATCCTTTCCTCCACTGTACGGAGTCAAGGCAGGCTTGGACTTTATGGGGAATACTCGCCATCCAATGGACCAGAAACAACAATCTGAGCACTGGAGAGTTTATCAGTCAGTCATAAACAAAAAGAGGAGAGGAGACTAACTGGCAGACATCATTGTTGGAAGAGCTGACTCTGCTTAACTTTTGACTGCCCTCACATCAGGCATGTTGTGTCGAGTCTCTAACCTCCACGCCTGAGTCAAGTAGGCCATACCCTCAATTTGCCAAATGTGTAACATTAAAATTTTGGAACCTAATGAGATGTGCCATAAAATGTACCCCCGGTACAGTGTGTGCAGATAGAGAGGTGAGCCATTCAGACCAAAAGTGGGGTATTAACTTCAAACTACAACAATAAAAGTATGATCTCACATTGGAAGAGTAATATTTTAGTGAAGTGGATCAATTTCAAACTTTCCAGCTTTCTTACATAACAGTTTCATCCTATATGCTTTGACTTTCTGTTGGCCATTTTATTCCAATGAGCCCTTGAAGGCAGCGCATTTACCGTTTTTGAATCAGCAGGTGGAGCTCATGTTTCATGCTTGATGCTCATGTTGGACAAGGGGGAAAAGATTTTTTTTTTTCCTTTTTTTTTTTTTTTTACAGCAGTGCTTTTAACCATCTACCCAAGGCAACTGTGTTTGCTTCCGAAATTGTTCCTTGTTGTATCGGCTTTTGTGCGATTTATCTTACAGCTCCTCCCATTGTTCATGTGTTATTTCCCACAGGCAGAGCACCATTGTATCCATGTAAAAATTCATTTGTTCATCTTTTTTCTATTTTTTTTTTAATCACAAAGACCACTTTTATAATAATCTAAGAATAGAAGAAGCTTAAATGCTGCTGTCAGAGCTGTTTTGTCTTCATGACAATAGAAGTAACAATGAATCAGTGTGACTTCAGTGATAATGTAAGCTGCTGCTCAGAGGCGACAAAGCGAGGCTGAATTGATCCCGAAGCAGAAACTCTTAAATGGTTGGAGGCACAGAGACGTTTTCCTTCAGGGTTACAACATAGTGATTTCTCTCTTTCTCTTCCTGACACAAAACAACAATTTTTGCTTGCTATAACAAATGGCCATAGTCCAATGTAGTTAGATATGGTCTACCGCGGAAAGGTCAATGGTCTTGTGATGGCGAATGCAGAGTATTATCCTCATTGTGCTCAGTGTGATAAAGTCCAGGCAGGGAGCACTGTGCTCTCAATTTTGTCAAACAGAGTGAAAAAACACATAGCCTACTGTCTTGGTAGGGCTCATCAGTGTGTGGGTGAGCACAAGTGCTGCAAATTAAAATAACAAAATGATGGAGTTGGTGACTGATGGCTGACTCATAGGCAGATAACTACAGAGCTGACTGATGCTTCACTGTAACACCCAAATCTCTACTTGTGAGCTGTAGCAGCCAGCTTAGTCTCTGGAACGCATGAGGGGGGCTTAATGAGAGTTTTAATTCATTTTTGACCGGAGCTGTGATTGAATTAAACTCCCACAGAAGGGCTGGATCCTCTCCTCGCCACAAGCCATTTCCTCCTATTAGAGATGTAACACAAGCAGCGGGTCAGCCCGAGAGGAGTCTGACCACTCGTCCTTCATTTTATGGAAACATTCACTTTGAAAGACTGTATGTAGAGCAAATTGTTGACGTCCAGTGTTTTGAAAAACTATCACTACCAAAGTTTGTAAAGGGACATATTTAAAGATACACACATCCGTAATGAAATGTTCCAGTACAGTACAAACAAATCAGATATTTAAAACACTAAGGCTATCACAATATACCACTATTGACCATAACTGTTTTTTTTAAAGTATTGATATGGTGCTATAAACAGGAATAAATTAAAATCACAAGTTCATGGTTGCCACATAACAGAAGCAACAGCTACCAACGAGCTAGCTGTAGCAGCCCTCTTTGAGATTTTTCAGCATTTTTTAAAACCGTCATTTAAAGATTAATTAAAAGTCCAAATATAATGTAAGACCTTGTGCCTCTTTGAGTTTCTAGTCTTTTGAACCGTGTCATTTGTACAATCTACTAGCAGTGGATGCTTCAAAATAAAAGCATATTTTTACAATAAATGAAGCGAACTCAACAAATAACTGATTGAATTTAGTTTACTATTAAAAACAAGTAGCTTCAGATCATCTCTACTTCACACAATACTCCAAAGACTACTCTGATGAAAATATTTTGACCGTAGAATTAAGAACTAAAGCCGAGAGTACATCTGTCTATTCTCAGATCTCCTTGTTACTTTGACCACTGCAGATGCATCCGGCCGTAACTCTTCAGATTACATGGTGACTCACTGAACCAAAGTGACAAAAATAAATACGGAGACATAGCAGACATGGGCAGAAAGAATGATTTTACCACAAGTGAGCAGAAATGATCGGATCATGTGTTAGCGTGAATTTACCACCCCTCTTGACTGGAATGA